ATCGTAAATTTGCGGGACTATAATCCCAATAGAATGCATGAGCCAAAAAAAATGGATACCTCAGCAATGTTTAGACCCTACGAAAACTCTTCATTTAAAGAGGCAACATGAATAACAATGGGTACAAAGTCTCCCTGTACATAGGTGAAATATAGAGAACCACTGTCACCACTCCTTGCAAAAGGTGTTTGATGGGATTTTCCTATATACATATATATTTAAGCCAACGTGAGACTACGTCCAGGTTTTTTATTTTTCAAAAAACAGTAACGTACCAAAGGTGTCTTTAGTACAAATGCATTGTACTTCTATTAGGTCCATATATGACCTCTTATAATGACCCGTCACTTGGCCTCTATCATCATATTTCGGGAATTTGAAATTTCGATCTTGGTTGACGCTCTTCAACAGTCCTGCAGTAAATCCTGTCGGCGCTCCTCTCTTGTAAATAACTCATGGATTGCTTGTGTTGAGACAATCTAATGCCTTCACGGACATTTGTTGGGGGTCCATATTGTTGGTAAGATCAGGTTCAGCACTGGAAAAAAATGCCACTTTAGATGAACAACAAATCGAAATGAATTGTCTTAATCGTACCCTTCACCTCCTGATGAAAGCTTGTCACTACTGTCCTCATCATCATCACCATCATCATCATCATCCACCCTTTCCACCAAGTGGGTGCAATCGACATGTTGTACGGTGGTTTTTCGTACGGTCTCTGTTTTAGCACCTAGTTTCAGCAGTCCTACATCCTCATATCCACCAGCACCAAAGCTTCGAAAGGCGTCATGAGGTGTACCAACAAACTCTGAATCGTGAATTGTTAAATCGTGTTCAGGAAGGAAGGACTCATACACATGACGAGCAGTAACACCAAGCAAACCCGTAGAATTTGTTTCGTGAGCTAACATAAAAGTATTCTGAAACGGTCAAAGAAAGACTCACTGAATACCGTTTGCATGGCATATCACCCCCAGTGTACCAACTGGCTCTTCTCGTGTACGTGGTGATATTGGTAAACCAATTTCTACACTTGATCTCTGATCAAGGCGAGCAACTTTTTGTTCTCCCTTTACTAAATTTACGTAGTCACATCTTGCAAGCACGTTGCCTACTTTCAACGTTTTGACGTCATCATCCGAAGCATCAATATATGCGGTAAACGATATCTTCTTTGGATGCATATCTTCTCCAACACTCCAAATGCGTTCGTCCATATTCATAAGGGTACGTCGTACCATTGAGGAAAAATTGTGCATAAAGGATCGTCGAACCTCTCGAAGGCTCCTTCCATCAGCTGCTTTTACAAGATCCCAACTATTATTTATCTTTTTGTTTGCTAGTTTTCGCAAGCAAGCACCTAGTGACTTGAATGTCAATGATTCCGTTTGCAGAATGTACTTTTCTGATGATGTGATGGTTATATCAAAGTGCTTTTGCTTGATAATCACACTCAATATGTCCCCCTCCTTCAAAAGTTCTAAATGTCTCATTCCTTGCAGGTTAAGAAATCCATATATATCCAGGTGATCATTTATGACTTCGAGTTGACGGGCCATGTCTGTCTCCTTGTTGATATTCTGCATAAAGCTAGCTTTGTTATTGACAACGATCATACATGAAACGCAAGAAAATACACCAACGACGTACATTACTGATTTTAGCTTGTTGGGGTTTACATTCAAACGTAAAAGAGGGTAAATAGAAATAGCATTCACCTGGTGTCCTATGTACTAAATGCTGCTTTCTTACTTGCTGGTCTCACGATTCGTAACGGGTTTGTGGAAGTTGTTGATCTTGGTACTGGTGAGTCAGCAGGAACGAGGATTGTACATTCGTGATCCGTATATGCACATAATTGATCGGCCTTGATATCAATCAATAGAACCTTGAAATCTTCATCGTTGACAATATGTTTGCGGATTCCATCAACATCTATAGAAGAATCAACTTCTAGTTGTGTGGCGTTGCCCAATTCTACTATTATCGCAGAGAGGTCATGAGCTACTCCCGATTCGCGCTTAAAGAGTTGTATCCAAAGCGCTATCTTATCGGTCCCTTCACTGCTCATATTTGAATAAGGATTTTGGGCAATTTTGGGAAAAGTTGGAGACAAGATATAAGAAATACAAACTACGGACATCTTAATCATGACGATAAACCAGGTTTATTTACAGTCGTTATGGAGGGGGTGAAAAACAGGTCGATCTTCCGTTTCCTGTACAGTACACTAACTAGTCTTCACACCGCGTGTAAAAGATGGTCGGAGGTGTCGGGTCAGAAACCCACTGATGAGCTTTTTCATTTCGTTTCGCCTTTTCCTCTTCCAAAGCAGCCAAGCTACCCCATCGTTTAATTGATAGTTGTTTGGCAAGATGATCTGCCACAATTTCCTGGTATTCAAAGGCAGCTTGAGAGCCAGTTTTGAATACCCGGAGCATAGTCTTGGCCTCCTTCTCTGTGATGAGATACTTGCTCATGGCAGCTGAGCGAGACAAGATGCCAAAGCGATGATGATCTCGGATACATCCATCGTAAGCTCGTTCATTCGTGAAAACAAAGACCTGGTCTGACAAGGCGCCGCAGATGACGCAGGTTTGAGTTCCTACAGATTTGAATAGCTCCCTATGTAGGTAGAGAGTGACAGAGAAGGAATAAGAAACCATAAGCCTGGTGTTGAAGATCAGCTCAATGCTTGTGAGAGCTGACACGTATATAGATCGAACACAACGACCAGGGTTATGGTCGCGCGAGTTGAAACACTTGGATAGATCGACGATAAATCAGACGCGACCCTCACTTGTATCTAAAAGACAAGTTTGATTAATTGTTGACTTCGAGTTGTATATGGTCGAACATGCTTGGACGACGTACATTGGCATCATCATCACCTCGATTGACAGCCAATTGCAAATTTGAAGTAGACATCATTGTACGAGTCCAGACAGGCATAAAAGTGTTTCGATACTTGGGATAAGGCGATATAAGAAGGGATCTTGCAGTGATCGGCGATAGCCAGCAGGAGTTCCAAAGGCAGTCCAACCAAAGTGTTTTGTAAAGGCAATACGATATCCTCCTGAGTAGAGTTAGCAGTAGTAGTAGGATCTTCATGAGTAGCTTCAGCCAATAAGGCAACCTTCTTGCCCCGCGTGGTAGTGACCATTTTTTTGCTTGATGTCAAGTTCAGCTGCTGTTTGCAGCGAGTTGTGTCCATAATGCAAGATTGTGAATGGCACACCTCGTTTTCGTGACTTGGCTTATAACATTCGAGGCCGATCACGTTCCTGACGCGTTTTGACGCCTAGTTTCAAAGCTTGTTGCTGCAGAAACCGAGTTTGCTCGTGCAGGCCGCCCATGAACCAGAATTTCAATAGATCCATCACATTTGTACATATTTTTGCAATATAATCTCGGCTTTCAAATCCGTTTAACCTCAGTTCTCCCTGTTTGCGTATCGTCATCAAATCAGTCTCAACGCTTTGATTAAAAAAAACGCCCGATAGAAAGCCGTCATGTTGCGTAGTGCTTCAACGATGATGTCAAGCAGCGTGAGCTGTTCTGCTGTCACTTCACAAAGAGTAAGTTTCTTGGCTCATCGATTCTGAAATGTTTGCTCCTTTTGTCGCATTTGTTCATTTACTGACTATATGATTGGATTTTCTTGATTAGCTTTCTCGTTCTGCTATCCAAACTCCTACTCTATGGCTATATCGTAGAGGATATGCTACCCCCGCAGGTAATTCAAACGACATTTCACAACACGTCGTCAACATTTTGACACACCCACTTTATCCGCGTCGTGAACCTACACTAACACGGTCAAACAATGTATGCTTTTTCTAGAATATGATGTCGTAGTAATTGGCAAGTTACATGGCAGATCACCTTCCACTTTGACAGCAACTTCAATTTTGTCTTCAACTCCTTGCACTCAATCTAGGCGGTGGACCCGGTGGTTATGTAGCTGCCATCAAAGCTGCTCAGCTAGGAATGAAAACTGCTTGTATCGAAGGTCGTGGTGCTTTGGGAGGAACATGTCTGAATGTTGGGTGCATACCTTCAAAATCCCTGCTAAACAACTCGCACTTATATCATGTCGCCACTCACGAATTCGAAAAGAGAGGCATCGATGGTAGAGCCTGGTCGTTGATCTTTTCCAAGATTTGAACTCACTGACCTCTGTTGCGTCAAATCACACCTAAACAGTCTCTGGAATCAAGCTGAATCTCGCACAGATGCTCAAGCAGAAAGACAAATCTGTCACAACTTTGACCAAGGGTATAGAATTACTCTTCAAGAAAAACAAGGCCGAGTATATCAAGGGATGGGGTTCATTGGTCAACCCTCATGAAATCTCTGTTACTGGTGCCGATGGTTCCACTTCTGTTGTAAAGGCAAAGAATATCGTTATCGCTACTGGATCAGAGTCTTCGCCATTCCCTGGTATTGAGGTATCAAGCTTGTGACACACATGCCATTTTTTGTGCAGATATGGTTTGTCAACATTCTTAAACATCAAACAGGTTGATGAGAAAGCGGTTGTCACATCGACAGGAGCTCTTACGCTGGAGAAAGTGCCGCAAAAGATGATTGTCATTGGTGGTGGTGTTATTGGTTTGGAGTTGGTGAGTGGTCAAGGTCGAACCACCGAGATAGTGTTATTTTCCCATGCCTTTTGTTATCCTTGGCCACCACATTGTATAATTGCATCTGAGCTAATGTTACTCTGTTTCTTCCTCAGGGTTCTGTTTGGTCTAGATTAGGCTCTGAGGTCACTTGTGTTGAATTCTTGGGGGCTATTGGAGGAATGGGAATGGATTCCGATATCTCGTATGTTTCCACTAAAAATGTTATAAGCAAGGTTCTTTTTTTGATTCCTTTTGCACTCGTAGTAAAGCATTCCAAAAATCATTGACGAAACAAGGCATGAAATTCAAACTCAACACCAAAGTCATCTCTGCCAAGAAGAATGCTGCTGGAAAAGTAGATGTTGTTGTTGAAGCAGCTGCTGGTGGTGCACAAGAAAAGGTACGGAATCAGACAGCTTAAGTGTCTTGTACAGGGTTTGAGACCGGTTTTTTTGCAAGAGCCCCTAAGTCGATGTCTCTTTCCAATAGATGGAGGTTGACGTCGTGCTGGTCTCAATTGGTCGAAAACCATACACCAAGGGCTTGAACCTTGAAAAGGTTGGCGTAGCCATGGATCCCAAAGGTCGAGTCATCACCTCTCACGACTTTTCAACAAACATACCATCCATTCGAGCCATTGGAGATGTCATTACTGGTCCAATGTTGGCTCACAAGGCTGAAGAAGAGGGTATAGCCGTCGTTGAATTCATGCATAATGGCGTCGGACATGTCAACTATGATGCCATTCCTTCCGTTGTGTACACATGGCCTGAAGTTGCTTGGGTCGGAAAGACTGAAGATGAACTGAAAAAGGCTGGAGTGCAGTATCGTATTGGGTCCTTCCCTTTTGCTGCCAATTCAAGAGCCAAGACTGTTGGTAAGGTTGATTACCTTGTTTGAGAGAGGCGTGAAGAGAGAATGGTAAATACTCAAAAATGCTTTCTCTTTTAGATGACGCCGAAGGTACCATCAAGGTTATCAGTGATGCCAAGACTGATAGAATATTAGGTGTCCATATGTTTGGAGCAGTAAGTTGGAATGGGTAGAGTGGTTGATAACAATCATAAAAGCAAATGCCTTATCGGATTCTTTCGCTCTTGTAGAATGCTGGTGAATTGATTGCTGAAGCAGTTTTAGCAGTCGAATATGGTGCTTCTTCTGAAGATGTTGCAAGGACGGCACATGCGCACCCTGTAAGTTTAACTTGTCTCGGAATCCCGCTGAATGGTATACTTCCGAATCCTTGAACTTTTTTTTACTTCGTAGACGCTTGCTGAAGCTTTCAAGGAAGCTTGTATGGCTGCTTATGGTAAAGCCATACATTTCTAGAGAGAATGGATTCGTTGTCTTATGTATAACTTGTCGCTCAAAATATAAAGCCATGATGTCGAATCGATCGTTGTTTCAAAACTGAAGTTTATTATGAGGTTTCTATTGGTGTTTATAGATAGGGTGTTGTTATAGGGTATTTTGGGTTGTGAGGAGACGGGTCTATATCCGCCCTCGTCACAGGTATCTACATGTTGCTGGTGATAATGGGTAGTTAATAAAACCATGCGATAAGAAAACATTCCACTTCGTTATCACATCCATCATGACCCACACATCGCTGCTGCTGCCAGCAACAGGGGATAAATGATTCTAGAGCTTCAGCACTCATCAATAGCTGCAATGCAACTGTGGTTGCCTCATCACAGGATTGAAGCCCTGGAGTGTTCGGAAACCTTTAAGGCCCTCAACAATCATCTACAGGCATGCCAGCAAACAGAGGCCTCCATCTGGTTTGTATTGCAAGGAATGGGATGATTACCATGCTTTGGGATCTCAGAGGGCGGATCACAGCCGTCGTTGAATCATTTCCCACAACACTTATGCTAACTGAGGGCCCCTCCACACAGTATTGGTCCTCTTTTTTTGTCCACTGGAAATGCAATGAATTGTGGCTACTTTCCTAATGTTTGATGACTTGTCCTTGAGTTGTTTCATAGCGAGAAGGCTGACTACCCTTCTTCAGCTATGCTTGTTGCGATTAGCAAGTTTATAGTGCCTTCAGCGATCTCTTGGAGCATTTTTGTATTTTTGGCGATACTCGAATCTCGTAACGGGTCATCTGTGCCACGTGAAGTCTGACCAACAAAGACAGCTGTTTTCAACGAAGACATGTCGGTTTGCTGATCAAGAATTGCCTTCAAGTTGCTAGCTGTAACTCTACGATCAACAAATACGATGCCGCAGAGCAGACTGGCACCAGCAACATACTCTCTCAGAATCTCCAACAGTTTCGTGACCTTTGGTGATATTTCAAGCACTGAGACCTTATTTACTGAGCCCTTTGGATATTTAGCTCGGACCATCTTTTCACAAGACTTGGCTAGATGTGGTGGAAGCGACTTTGATTTGACATATAAGCGAGGATCTTTCAAGTCATCATCATCAATATCGTTGTTACCAGCGACCCATCCGTGTTTATCTTGAGGTTTACGCATCAAGGCCTCGAGACTCAGCTTAAGCTCTCGTTCAGCAGCAACCCTTCCAAGTTGCTCAAGGATATGTTGGATTCTGTTGTCTACTAAGCTAATGATTTTCATGCCCATCATCAGCTGGACCTCACTCTCCAATGCGATCATCAATGGCGTAGGTTGATAATGTGGTGAGCTCTCATAATAGACCTTTTCGTCGTCGGTTTTATTGGTGTGTTGGTCAACCTCTTTCGCGTCTCGAGGGGCGACACATGTGGAAAACAGGATCTCTTCCAAATTCCTGTATTTAAAAAAGGGCGAAGTTAAACAATTCGAACCGAGCTCAACGTTCAGACCACGCTTGGAAATACATACGTCATAGATTTTTCAGGATCTTCCTTGGCAGCTACTGGAGACGCAGTCATTCCAACAAGCAGAAGGCGTTCGTCCTTGCTGAGCGGAGCATAATGTGTTTTCATAATAACAATATAACGGTCATTTTGCCGTGCATGATGGCACTCGTCAAACCGAGTAACTGCTGTGTACACTTGAACAACTCTCACGTCCTTCAAGCTGCAGAAATTCTTGTTCAGGATATCCAACAAGATCTGATGCGTCATGACAACGGCATCAGAAGCTGCCAATTCTTTTATCCATCTCTATTCGTCCCAATATCAAAAGAGGAGTGTCAACGTCAGGTCGCGAATGAGGTTTCGACCAAAACTAAGATTCCACCTAAAACTCCTCAAACTCAGCTCAAACAACATGGGCAAAAAGCAGCCAATTCCGTACCCTGTCGAGACTCATGGCACCAAAATAGCACTTGACACGTAAATTGGTGTGTTTTGCAATATAATCTGCCTGCTGCTGAACTAGTGCAAGATAGGCATATATTCGTCGCTTGCCAGCGAGCCCATCTTGCTCAACTACCTTTCCAGTTCCAGTGTCGAGTACAGCAATCGTGTTTCTTCGTTTAGGGTGTTCTAGGAGCTGGTAGGTTCCAGCTTGTAAAGCCTCCATTTTCAAAAGAGTTTCCGAGCTTACAAGAGCCTCGCTCTGTATGTTTGTAAGCTGACGATGCAACTATTGCTGGCCAAAAAGTAGTATGTCAATGTTCCACATATCAACATGTGATGAAGGTAGCCAATAACCTCGGTTTCCGGTGTCAGAAGCGGCTTTATTTAAAAAACTGCTTCTTCATATCGTTTTATGGTTCACTTTCATCTGCTCGCACACAAGCACCCGTCCTTTCCCTCCTTTGCGTCAATTTCCTCAACTTTTCGCAATCAACTTTCTCCACTCAGCTTCCCCGTTTCTCCTCTTGTGTGCAAAATTTCGACTTATTTCGCAATTATGGAGCAACTACGAAGTTATTAATGTGAGTGTCACGTTTGATTCCAAACTTCGACAGCAACTATTCACTATGCAAGACTCGCAGCTTACCGTAAAGTGCAGGATCAATCGTCGGTGGAATCGGTGCAATTTCAGTTCCCAGTTCTTGCTCAATACGGTAAAGGTTGAAGCGATCATCATATGTTATGAGGTTTATGGCTAGACCAAAGTGACCAAATCGACCAGAACGACCGATACGATGTAGATACGTCTCAGCATTCTTTGGGAAGTCAAAGTTGATGACAACATTGACGGCTTGTATATCAATACCTCTGGTCAGCAGATCTAGTTGGAGACAAAATAAAAGATTAGAGAGAGAACAATGAACGTGTTACAGCATCACATTCCCTCAAGATGGAATATTGCTCCCGAGGGCGGTCAACAGGAGCTCCGTCCTGAACTTCAACCTGTTGCAGGCGAACAGTGCATACACTAAGGTACTCACCAGAACAGACAAGATGTCTCGTCTTTCCATTACGGAAATCGTGAAACACTCGGTTTCGATGGGATTGTAACATCTTTGCGTGTATGTAGTAGCACCTGGGGTGTTTCTTCGTGTTTAGCGTTTGTATTAAGGAAGTTTCAATCATCATGGTCAACTTACGAGTAACCAAGTTCAGTGATTTTCTTGGCCAGTAACTCGACTCGACTGGTAGAATTACAGAATATGATGGATTGATTTATTTGGAGCTAATTGATCAAGAGAAAAGTGTCAGTAGGTAGAAGAAAAACGCATGACTTCGCGCGATGTAAACTCACTTTCGAAAATAAGGTGTTGAGGCAGTGGACTTTCTGCCTTTCTTCGACATATGCATAGAATTGTGTAATACCCTTCAACGTTAGCTCTTCCATCAAATTGATTTCATATGGCTTCTCCAAGAACTTGTCTTTGAAGCTCTTTACAATCAATGGGAATGTTGCAGAGAATAAGAGGATTTGTCGTTTCTCAGGATGGAAGGAGATGATTTGTTCGATGATGGGTTGGAATTCAGGAGACAACAGTTTATCAGCCTCATCCATGACTAGCATGCTGGCTTCCTTCAGATCACAGATGCCCTTGCCAGCCAAGTCTAGAACTCTGCCTGGTGTTGCAACCAATATGTGTACTAGGGAAAACGCAGGCGTGTGAGAATATCTCTAGGCTATAATATTTAATCATTGTGCAACCACACCTGTTTGTCCTAGCCTCAGAATATCATCTTTCAATGTGGTACCTCCAGTGGTTACCATAACTTGAACGTTCATATGTTTTCCAATGGTCTTTATAACTTGAGATGTTTGTAGCGCCAGTTCTCGTGTTGGCACCAAAATCAAGGCTAATATAATGAATATATTTCGTTAGTCCGACATCACGCTGCGATGGCAGTCCACACAACCAACATGTATTGTCACCTTGTATGGCCTTCTTCTGTACATTGACTTTTTCCAATACAGGAATAACAAAAGCAGCTGTTTTACCAGTTCCGTTCTTTGCTCTGGCCAGGATATCTCGACCAGTGAGAGCGATGGGTATTGATTCTTCTTGGATGGGAGACGGCCTTTCAAAGCCTGCCTCGAATATGCCCATCAAGAGTTCACGTTTGAGAAAGTAGTCTTCGAATTCATTGCCTTTGGTGTTTGTGACATCCTCGGTTTGTGGCCTTGTGTCTGGAGTGGGTAGTTTTAGGCTCTTCTTCCAGTCGGAACCATCATGAGAGCTAATTAATAGGATGTAAGTAAGTGGTAGATCAGAGTAATAAAATGACGGATGGCCAGGAATTGGATAAGTATTCAAGCATCCCCATTCCCACCACGCAAAACAAGGACATAACAGCCCGTATTTAATCCATCAGACATATAAGAAGGTTACCTGATATGAGTGTTTGCTAATTGATTTGCTAATTGGCCTGCTCCGTTTTCGACGGCAGCCATTGTCTTGTGGTTGATGCGCTTGTGGTCGACAAAATGGTTGATGTGGGATAACGACCTGGTTTACTTGCAGCTTATATAGAGCTCAGTGGGATGTACTTGATAGAAGGCCCGTGATATATGATGGATATTGTTGCAAGGTATGGTATGGTATTATTAGAATAGAGAAGCAAGTGAACCGCGACGAAAGTGGTGTGGGTTTTGTCTGTTTGGATGCGAATGCGATGTTGGATGTACAGCGTGGATGATGAATTGATGACCAGTGTTGGACTATGGACTGTATATTGCTCCCTTCAGTTCCTTCTTGTTGAAAGAGCTCGAGTTCTCAAAACAATAGTTGAGAAGACGATGAGATTCAGGGACTGTTGGTCGCTCACTCTGGTCGATAATTTATGAAATGTAGAACATGACATTCATGTTAATTCATCGAATATTGCATCTTCCACCACTCTTGTCGACAGGCCACCTACTTTTCGCACAACTAGGTCCTTGGTGTCCCCCAAAGCTCATCATCCTTCAAACATTAGAATACGTTTTCTGGCTCAAAAACGTTCAAAACGCGTAGATGAAGCCCTAGCAAATACTTTCGGAGGCGATGCGACTCCTTCGACTTGAAAAGTCACCAAACATGGCGTGTTGACACAGTCAGTCAAGCAAACACAGATATATGTGGTCTTCAAATATGATGTACATGACGTCTATTGATCAGCGATACTTTCTTGCGTTTGTGAGCGCGCGTACCAACTATGTTGTATAAAAAGGGCACAGTTAGGGCTTTGTTGTTCAACAGTATGCTCCTCGACACAATTTCTTCCAATGAAGACGTGTCCTTCCAGCAAAATCAACCACAGGTGTCAAATTAACTCACCTTTGGGCGATCTAAAGTTATCCTTCCAACCTCATCGTCAATTGTGTTGTACGCCTCTCCAACCCTACATGTCAAATCGAACTTTTGCCACATGCTGTGGGTCGGGGCGTTGCCATAACCAATGGGCCCTATAGCTAATGCTCCTGAAGACATTAGCAGTGTAGTTACGTCTAGTATCCCGTTGAGCATTAGTTACAAAGTTCTCGGGGTAACGGTTGACATTTACAACCCTTCTTCTCTCTTCCTCTCACAAACTTACAAATTGGCTCTCTCATGGCTCTTATTCCAGGGAAAATAGGAACTTCTGACCAAATCCAATGACAGAAGCAGCAAAGGGAAAGTATGGAGAATAGTAACTGAACGCTGAGAAAGACCATGGTCACATAGACACCGTAGGGCTCCATGGATAAGACACTAGATTGAGGATCATTGACTTGCACAATGCATGATTGCCCCGAAGTTGCATAGGTACGTTGCATTCCTGCTCTTAGCAGAATTGTGAAGGTAGTCTACACAGAATGAATCAATTATGTAACCCCAACAAGTTTGTGTAACGAGTCAATATACCTCTAAGCCGGCCTCAATCATACTGGGGTCAACGCTTATGAGGTCCCCTGAAGTCCACCTAGAAGTACCATTTATTAAAGCTGAATGCATATCCAATAATAGCCTTAACTAACTAACCATAGTAAGGGGGACAAAACTGATGGAATCTGATTAATTTGAAAACAAAGTTAGCACGTCTGCTCTAGCGTCGGGCCTTCATGCAAGAGAGTCAAGACTTAGCGACTTACGGTTGGTGTAAGATTTATGGTGTTTGCCGGTCCATTCAGAATGGTCGTCAAAGCTGACACGAGCCAAGGATCAGTAATTGCTGGGCCTGTGATATTCTGCAGCTCCACCGTCTTCTGAGCAATGGAGGCGGTTGTACCGTCCGTCATGTAGTCAGTATAAACTTTAGCCTGTGAGTGGTTTGAAAATGTGGTTCTGCACACAGAAGGGAAGGAAATTTTTGTTACTGGGTGAATACCACGCTGACGAAAGCAGGTTAATTGTGATGCTACGCTTACCGACACACAGGAACAAAAGCTGTACTGTTGCCTCCTAGAAAGAAAGTAAGTAATATGGACCGAGATTAGCCTTCATTAACGACGATACCGTACATCAATTCAGCACCATACCACATATAGGAAGGCCACTGAAAGCAGAGTAGATGGTAACGACCGACGAATTGTGTAAAATGACATTGCCAAATCCAATTGGAGAAGTGACAGCGCTCCAACGACTAAGAAGTGAAGATGAAGCAGATAAAGGAACTCCCACTACTTCGAATCCAGTGGAATTTGCGAACGGAGTACACGAGCAGTTTGTGAATACATCGGTGCTGAAACCAGATGATACAATCTATAAGAAATGGTGACAAGCTTGAACATGTCTGTTCAATCCAGGCAAACAAACCCTCTACTTACACCATCGCCATCATTGACCGCTCCAATTATTTGAGGTGACATCACAGCGGTCGTGTAGTCGGCTGTCACTTCTGAACGCACAACACCAAGTGCCTAATGATTGCGGTTAATTTAATTTAGAAAAAAAAAATTCAGAAAGTTGAAGCAGCATTGTACTTGCCGTTCCGAAAATGAGCTCGGCCAGTCCAATTTCCGTATCGATGTCGGGATAGCCTCTGTCAACAGGAGCTCCAACTTCTTCATAAACGATGCAGTGCACACTCCCGCTCTCGATACGATTGGTCTTGGTTCGAAGTGCAGTGGCACTTATTGGAGTCAGTAGCTTCAGTGCTTCGATTGAAATCCATATCAGAGAAATCTTCGCCAACAGGCTTCTGCAAGTCGAGTTTAGCGAGAGGTTTGATGCAAAATTGAACTATGATGAAAAACCTATTTAGCATGTGGCTCTTTCCAATGAAACCTTTTGTCTAACATCTAAGGAATCGCTGTATCTTGATTGTTGACGTTACTTTTTTGTAGGTTGAGACTTGAAGGAATCCCGTCACCACAAAAGAAATCCCCCCTTTACTGCATAGTCTGAAACCGAAATAAGCGGCTGCTGCATCGCTGTGCAAAAGTGTATGTCAGTTCCATGTAACCTATCCATGTAACCTCGTTCCATTTGAAAATTCGTTATTGACAACGAAGACTTACTTGAGGGCTAGCAGTGTCAAAACATTAGCGAAAAGCAAAACCACTTCCCATATCACGGCAGCTAGAGCGGTAAGCGTCGAGACACTCATTGGCATCCATACGGACGCCTCAAGTTCCTTCACAAAGATGATGAGAATAACATTGACAACCAATGCTGCGAATCCCCATTTCATCTCGACCACTTTCATTAAGAGCGTTTCCGAAATCTCTCGTGCTCCCCCAACTTCATAGGTCATGGAATTTGAAGTTGACGTATGGCTGGGATGCGCTGGCGTGGTTGCAAGTGGCGCGGGAGTAAACCATGCTTCAGATTCTCGACGACGGTGTTCCATACTTTCGTTGTTCTCATATTCCATCACACTTGGACTCCGTGATGTATATTCACTGATTGTGGCACTCTTCATGATTAATTTGTTTTGTGGCTCTTTCAGAGTGGATTCCTTGACGTTGAGCGGTTCCTTTGTACTAGCATCTTGCGGAACATCCGTGACCTTTTCTTTTTTGCCTTCTTGTCTCTGTTGTGGATTGAATTGTCAGTTTGCTTGTGGATAACATTTTAAGTTACATATGCACCACCGCTTCACAACAAGGAAGGCGATAATGGTATTGTAATTGAGTGAATTGACCAAAACATCGAATATTTCCATGTTGCCATATGGTCAATGCCACTACTGCCAAAGCTGAAGGTAGCATTCATGCAAACAAGTAAAAGCACGCAAATGAAATATGTCATACCGGCATGGAGGAGCGAGCCTGTACGGGAGCATCAGGCGTTTCCCAGTGTAAATGTCGCTCAGGAGACTCTATCGGTGCTGCATCCTGAGTGTCTGGCGTTGCGTTCTCGAGAAGCGCCGTGAACCTGATTCCAGAAACACTCTTCTTCATTATTTGCCGTAGACCGGGAGCAGGTTTTGGAGATTCTTCACGCTCTTCCTTCTTGCCTTCCATCACGATCTACGCTATACGGGATCTTGAGACTTTAAAACAAAATTCGAGCAACTAGATATGGGTGCTTTGTTCTATAAAAGCTGCGGATACGTCGATTCAGATTTGGCGCTTGGGTACACAGACCTGATTTATAAAACCTTTGTTGTTGTTGCTAGGGACCTTTTCACCAATGAACAAACAGTCCATTGATCCTTTATACACTTCCAAACTGTGCAAGAAACGGCATTTTTATTTACGGCCCGCATTCTATACCTTAAAGTTACCTATAGAATTATATGGTTTTCGTGGCGGTATCTATGAAAATATGTGCAGGTATGTTTATATGTTGATGTACAGGATGTTATGTATGTGGGCTAGCTTTTTACAATATGACTTGTCTCTCCTGAGAACACTGCCAAGTATGGTCAAGAAAATAGAGACCAGCTTCGTCTAAACGAGCTACCTTATCCTTGTAGTCAAGCACTCCGTTTAGATGCACCGCAGTCACCGAGCCTTTGTCAAAGCTTGTGGCATTGAATGTATGACCATTCACTATTGCCGACGAAGATAATAGTCGAACTACTGCCTTTCTTGAACCCTGGCGTTTTGGTGTTGATAGCCATTTGCCATCATGTCCTTGCACAGACACTAGCGAAGAGTCTCCCATAACCTTGTTGAGTGCTACTGCATCACTATAAAACAAAACAATCTGGTGAGCGCTTTCATTGCAACAGAGAGTATGGAATGGCTTACTCGTGAAGCGTTGGAGAGTACTCAATCATCTTCTCTAAAATACTAAACGCTCCCGGCGTGTTTCGAAGAAATATTACACCCGTCGAAACCAGAGGTAAACGTGATTGTCTCTGGTTTGACGTCATATCCATCATGACATACAGATCAGCATCTCCTTCGATAAGGAGATCCAAGTCTTTCAAAACGACAACATCAGCATCAATACTCCAAATACCACGACTTGCGTGCTTCAGCGCCAACTTTAAAAACGAGGGTTTCCCACTTGTAAATTGGGCAAACTCATAATCTGCCCAAGTTACTTCATATGGGAATCGACGAAACCGTGCTTGATTATGGTACGACATTAGATCTTGTTCGAGGAGTCTGTTGTGTGTCACCTCGTCAAGTGCCCAAAACAAAACATTCGTGCCATCAAGCTTTCTGAGAGAGCAATGGAGATTCATTGCTAAGGGTCTTGAAGCTATGTTTATAGGTACTAAGATGGGAGTCCCTTGTTGAGATAGATTATGCAGTGCTTTAACGACGCACGTTTCTTTGAAAGAGACATCATCCTCATCACACGGAGCTGAAGAATCGTTATCTCGTAGCTTATAATCAATCCATTTTCGTAGCTTGGCTTCCTTGCTTATATAAATCTTTCGTGCCATCAGGTACGGCACCAGACTATTATTCAAATCTGGCGGATCTGCCACCAGCAGACTGTGCCTTCGTTGATAATCTACAAATACTGGGTGATAATTGCCAGGATCAAACCTAGATTCGACAATTGAGGGCAAACCACACAGCGGAGAAACAGGCTCTTGTCACAGAATTTTTCTTACTTCGCAAAAGTTCTAGAGATCGGAATCGTATTGTTTCCATACTCTTGGATCGACATCAACCCAGTTCCCTACCGAATTATGATTCCCGATTAGTATACCCCGCTTGATTGTTCAAAATCAAAGAATTTACAAAATAGATCTCATCGGGTATAAAGATGTAATCACAAAAAGCAAGCCAAGCTATCAATCGTTGATCGGTTCGAAAGGCTTCAACATGATCTCGGGATAGCACAACCCATTGAGGGTGCTTGAATATATCGAAAGCTAAGGTATGATGAAATGCCTTTCCAGCATGATGCCATTGAATAGGTTCTATTTGATCCTTTGAGGTGAAGACAAACGGTTTGGACCATCTGTCTGCGAATTCTTCAGCTTTTCTGGCACCAATCCAAGACTGCCGATGACCGTTCCTTTCATCAGCTTTCAAATTAGCATACATGGCATCAGGTCTTAAAAGTGGATAGTCATTCGCAGACAGATTTATGATATAATCGAATTCAGAAACATCCAAGAGCTGATAAGATAAGGAAGAATGGGTTTGGTGAGAAATTCGAAGTCAGAATAATGAAGAAAACATGACGGAAATCACTTACTTTGAAAAAGCAATCTAAAGTTGCAAATACTAGTTGCGCACTACCCCACGTTGACCGAATCTGTCTACTATTAACTATTACTCGGGACGATTGTAAGAAATACTGCTCGGCCCAAGATTCAAGGCGCCGTCCAAGTTCAGCTTCACGGCTGTCCACGTGAATCATTACAATGGAGTGTGGCTGGTCAGAAACGAGTTCCTTTATAATGATTTTCAAATTATTCAGCTGGTTTATATTGTGCGCCAGTATAACAAACGCCATTCGATGCTTGGCTCGTTGTAGCTTTGAGGGTTTATAGGATACCATCGGAAAGTATGTGCTGGGCTCAAAAGCCTGAATTAAGTTGACAGAGTTGCTATGTGCACGACCTGTTGCCAACAAATAGCAAGAGAGCTTTCGCAAGCTCTCAGATTCAAACCGACCCGTTTGCAAGAGACCTTCTAATTTACGAGCCTCTGCGTCAAATCGTTTAGGAAATGATGACTTTCCTATAGTCCCAAACGGGCTGGCCACGTTCAAGAATCTGGAGCCATTCAATTGATTACAGTATTCAAATCCGGTGATTTCTAGACCAGAAGAGTGTTCGAGAGAATGAAGGTCGATCATCGGGTCATATTGGCGTCGGTTTGGTTTCAAAGTCCAAATCAAAATTCCAAAGAAGAAGGTAACCCAGATCAGTTTATTCAGCCTCTTCAAATCCTTCCAAAGTCGAGACTTTGGTCTAGAGCTCATAACAACGAGATCTAGTAACAACGACAAGGCAACGGGTGTTTTGACCGGTGTGCTTCGCGAATTGGAAAAGATAGGCATAAATATCGACCGATCTGATGCTTACCAGTTCCGAAATAAGTTGAATCTAGAATCGCTGCAGCAGTTGCGGAAGATTTGAAGTACCAGCAGCCAAAGAGTTGGAGTTGATGTGTAAAGCTAGACCAGATGAACCTATTGAATCCTTTCAAGCAATACTTTAGCAAACTTCCTTCCTTGAGTCGCCTGCGTTCACCTTTTCTATGGGCGGTCCAAGGCTATTGTATATCAGTCCTCGCTTTTGAGGTGATTGAATTTAGTTGGGTGAGTGAGTGTCGTAAATTTGACGTATTCGCGAAAACAACGGGATTCGTACTCCTGATTTGGTTTCAAGACTCGCGTTTGCTAATCACATTGAATATCGAAGTGCGAGGGGCCCTCAATGCTTCCAACATTTAACGAAAAATGGGATTGGCTCCTTGTTGAGAAACTTTCGTGGAAGGTGCGGCACCTTGACCTGGGAGATGTGATTGTTTACATTTCTCCTGTTGATCCCTCAAGACCTGTCTGTAAGAGGCTTATTGGACTGGTATGGAACCATGGTTGCTTCTTTACAGTGATGTATTCAGCGACGGATTGTGATTTGGTTTCTTATTCATTTACGTACGTTTATTAGCCTGGAGACCATGTACTTATAGATCCTTTGCTCAACGAAAGGGAATACATTACAGTAAGCTTCATTATCGCCAAAACGTCTCGCTGGCAACTCCCTCCATCAAAATGATCATTCAACCACAGGTGCCTCCTGGTCATATATGGGTCCAAGGAGACAATTCAAGTAATTCAAAGGACTCGAGAGAATACGGGCCTATACCAATGGGATTGATTCGTGGAAAAGTATTTTGTCGCGTATGTGACGAAGTTTGAGCATCTTAAGTGAAACGCAAAGCTCACACCGCTTAAGATACTAGGTCTTTCCTGAATTCAAGATGGTTTCGGGACGTGGGATGAGATTGTCGGAAAGGACGTGAGGCTTGCTGGAGGGTTCATATTTAAAGCTATGCGACCTATTTCACATAATTGGGCACGCAATCACGGACTAAGAACATTCACTGGCATATAAATCATTATGTAAACGACCTCAATTATTAGAACTAGAATATCTTGTACAAAGCTGTATGCAAACAACATGTTTCATTGCATCCAAAGCGCGATCTGTGTATAGATCTGTAGATCTGACGATATTAACAACTCGAATGTTGCTTAATCAATTAAACTCGAAATGTGGGCAAAGTGGTTGTGCCTCTGCCACGTTCTGTTTCATTATCGTACAAAAACTCGGGCTCTATTGACAGGATATAAAGAGATTCTCATTGGCAGGCAGTTAAGATACACTGCAAGCAGAAGCCTCATCAGCCGGTAAGTTTCTATCTGCAAAAAGTTTTGCATCGCTCCGCTCACTTGCCTGCCAATTCACATTTTTGAACGACTTCTGAAACACGGTTTTCTGCAGCTGGGAACCCTCAAAACTATTCTCTGTAGATAGATTTAGTAGGTAGAGATACGCGGAATATATCCCATTCTCTTCTATTAGCTCAATTTTGAGCAACATCAAACTTTCTGACGGCTGCCAAAAAACAGCACCAACTCTCTTGTAAGAGAAGACGACAACTAGTTAATAGTTGATACTTCAACCGTCAGATCTTCATATTTGCTCTCTCTGACCCCTATCGGATAGTCACGCATTCGAAGAGAGAAACCACCGTCCTTCTCGCTCTCATGGCCGTGATCAATGGAGATGAGAATAATAATACAGAGTCTCTATCATCAGGAATCGAGAAGAAAACTATGGACGATATAAGGCAAGGAGATCTGCTCGATGGTGATGCGGCTCGAGCTCCCATTGTGGACGCCCTTGCATCAACACCCAAAGTATCATTCAAACCATTGACATCGGCATTGGAACCTATACTACCATTGAATGATGCTACAAGAACAGTGCCGAGTTCCAAACCTAGTAAAGATCAACTGAACTCACACCCCACGTCACCCGACACATTACTCGTCGACTCTCCAGAATCGATTGGTATAAATGCTAATCAACTCCCCATACGTCAAAATGTTGCATCGGGTATAATACCAGGGCAAGCAAAGAAGCGACCTAGCTCAGTTGGATCTGCTGCATTGGTTGTCTCCGCAACTGCTGGTCCCTCAGATGGCCCAAATAGACGAGTATCCCATTCCGCCAATAATACTAAAGGGACTAGTATACAATCACCAGCTACACACCTGCTTACTCCTGAAGATGACTCTAAGAAGTGGAAGGGTGTTAAAAGGAGCAACACTGTTGGATCTGAAAGTGGTGGAACTATGGATGGAGCCATGATTGCTGCTCCACCATCGGCATCTGACGCACGAAGAAGGCCTTTGTCTAGAGCACGATCTGAAAAGGAAGTTTTGGTTGGTACTCCGGTCAAGGAGGGTCATCCCAATTACATGCTCATGTACAACATGTTGACGGGTATACGAATCTCGGTAGGTCAACGAGAAATCCGTGTATTTTCATTGTTGCGGAAATCCGTTTTCAAGTGTCCCTCGTTTTGCTAGCCTATCCCAATCCAAATTTTATTTTTATACTAGGTTTCTCGATGCAATGCCAAAGCATGGAGGGATTTGACCGCTGTAGATTTCAGTGCTGCTCATAAATTAGCGTTTGATGTGTGAGTTTCCGTTCGGAGAATCTCAGAGATGATTCTCGGGTTGTCACTTTTTGCATATTCTTTGTTGCTGACATGCTTCACTTTAGAACTGGTAACGAACTGACTCCCTCATCAAAGTATGATTTCAAGTTCAAGGATTATGCTCCATGGGTGTTCCGTGCGACCAGAGATATATTTCACGTGGATCCAGCTGAATATCTAGTAAGATCCCCGTCGGCGCTTGCCCTTTTTCTTTGCTCTTGCGCTCGTGCTTACCATTTTATTGATCTAGATGTCAGTAACAGGAAAATATGTCCTGTCTGAGCTAGGAAGTCCAGGAAAGAGTGGTAGCTTTTTCTACTACACCCAAGATTATCGATTTATCATCAAAACCATTCATCATTCTGAACACAAATTCATGAGGAAGGCATTACGTGCCTACTATGAGCACGTCAGAAACAACCCACATACCCTCATGTCACGTATATTCGGTCTGCATCGTGTCAAATTACCAGGAAACCGAAAGATTCATTTTGTGGTTATGGGTAACGTCTTCCCGCCAAACAAGGATATCCATGAGGTGTATGACTTGAAAGGCTCAACAGTTGGTCGTATTGTGCCAGATGATGTAGTGAAGAGGAATCCCTCTGCTGTTATGAAAGATTTAAACTTTTTGCAACGTGGACAAAAGATAAAATTGGGTCCAGCCAAGAGTTTGATGCTGATTGAACAGATTACCAAGGATGTGCAGGTATGTTTTGTGCAGGTTGCACATCTAAGAAGATATCATTTACACTTTTCTTTGTGTTCTAGTTCCTTGTAGCTATGAAGATTATGGACTACTCATTGCTGATTGGACTGCATGACTTGATTAAGGGCAACAAGGATAATATTCGTGACACCACCTTGACAGTTTTTGAGGTATGTTGTAGCGTTGGGCTAACTTCATTTTGTCAGTATGAATCTCATCGTTTTTCAAAAAATGTAGCCAAATGCTGACACTATTGCCAGAACACAACAAAAGAGAAGCAGCAAAGCGAACGCTATACGACGAGCTTTGGCAGATGCTGAACCAACTCAGCTGGGTCCCTCAGAAACGAGGTTGCCGGATGAAGCTCCTCCAGAGTAACTATTGACCATCCTTAGTGTTACGTCCGATTGGTGTAATTTCACTGACTTGATCCACATCATAGACGCCGATACTGTGTCTTTTATCAAGATCAAGGTGGTTTCCAAGCCACTGATGAAAGCAACCAACCTATTGAGGAAATTTATTACTTGGGTATAATCGACATCTTTACCAAGTACGATGCAGTCAAGAGGATTGAACATACTTTCAAATCAATTACCCATGACTCGGTAAGGGCAAGCGTTTCAGGGTTTTCGAAATCAAGTCAATTGAATCTATTCATCAATGACACCAAACTAACGCTACTCGTGTATCATTGTTAGCATCAAATCTCTGCAGTCAACCCAATAGCATATGGTGCTCGTTTCCTCAACTTTATGAAAGATGCCATCAAGAACTTCAACGAGTCATCAATGGCCCCAATAACACCTATGAAAATGATGGAGATGGCTGCCGCTGCCATGGTGGCTCAACAAGCTCATCAGATTGACTTTATAGAAGTCCATGAGCGCTCGAGATCTACTATATCATCCAGGAGCTAGACTTCACCAAACGTAATTTTTAAATACATAAAGATAATTTGATCCGCCAAACCAACGGGCTTCGCGAGGTTAGTGCTGGTTGTGAAGTTCAGGTCCACCCTTGGTTCCGCCAACCGAATCGACGCGAAGAACGTTGTGCGCTCTCCTTTCACATCCAGACTTGTTCACTACCAATGCTGGTCATTCTTCGTCATTTTGTTCAGCAACGGCAGTTCCAGCTTGATCTCAAGATGTGGATAGTGTACATGTGGCTCTTAGCAATTTCAGCTATAATAATCTATGTATGGGCGCATCTCATCGAGCCAATATTGAAGGTATTCACCTCGTCCTGTTGTTAATTTGTTACAGAAATCGCAGCTACATTGCCTCTTGATGTCAAATAGGAGGAGCTTCGCCAAGATGGGAAGATTAACCATGTAGAGGTAATAGTCGCTCGAGGCCGATCATGAGTTGCACGGGGAGTTACGAAAGTCGAGACATCAAAACACAAAACACAGATTTAGAGATTGTCACGTCTCATTGAAGTCCCCATAAGGGTCATCGAATGAAGCCACCTTCAACTAAAGGCTTCATTGCATCGCTGAACGTCATGCTGTAACCATTTGTGTTGAATTTAGATCAATAACAATCTCGTAGACAACTCCACGCAAACATCAGAAGATAACAATTACCGACGATTGAAGATCAAGATTGAAGAACTAGAAGAACTATTATTGGATGCACGAAACGTTTTATTGGATACACGAAAACGACCAGAATCTCTTATGGCAGGCATAACACCACCGCAAACGCCACTTCCAGTTGATGAAGCACTCGATGGATCTCTATCAACAGCAGCACCTCCTCCTCCCCCTATGCCTCCTCCATCCATGTTTCAACCACAACCGTTGATCATCATCAAAACGCACTCGAAAACAGGGACAGTTCGGACTTCAGGACAAAACAATGATATTATGGGTGCCGTATTACGTGAATTGGCTCAACGAAGTGCTCAACAAAGTGCCAAACCGAGGGCTCTGACGACTCCGATTGCCGCAAGGTTCGATTGTCGTCTCTCAAACATAATGTTTTTTGTATTTCTCACAAATGTCACAGGAGTGAGAATAAGGAAAACGAGAACATGAAGACGCCGACATCATCATTGAGGAGCCACATACCAATTCCAAAGAGTCGTAGTCGTGGTGAAACGCCACATACCCCATCTCTTTTGAAAGAATTGGCAGGCCATAAGCTGAAGAGTACAAACGTTCCGAGGAGTCCTGGAGGCACTACTATTCTACCCAACTCTCGCAAGAGGAGGACGAGTTTTGTCAACTGGAATGAAGTTGCAGGTTCGCAAGTGGTTTGTAAATATTCAGCTTTGCTTTGCTCGGAACCGTTTCTTTTTCTAAAGTTTCTGCCATGAGGAAGAAGTTCCGAAATGCCTATCCAAAAGAAGAGGAAGAACAGGCTGAAGAAGGCTGGCCGGATGATGAAGATTATACTCCCGTCAAGTCCACGAGGAAAGAAAAGTAGGAGAATTGTATTTTATTGCGCGAAATTTGAACCCAGGAGCACACACATCACCATCGTAACTTGTACGTCATGAAGCATTTGTTACATATACACATCCATTGTACAGATCCATGTAGGTTGTAAGCAAGCTGGTTTTTCGCATAAACGTGTTGGACGATGTTAAGCGATTCAGTCAGAATAATGTGATATGTGATGACGTGTTGTGAATGTAAAGGAACGTGTAATCAGGGGGGTGTTTGTGCATAGATTGCGAGCGGGTATACTTATTGTACTTAATCCACCTGTAGTGCTAATCTTTGTGCTTCAGTGCTTCAAGTCAATATAGAGAACAACTTGTATTGAAAAGAGTTGGAACAGAAAGTGAAGAAAGAATTGCTAATCTTTGTGCTTCAGCGTCATTTAGATTGCACTTCCAAAGCCTCATCATTGAGCCTCATGGAACAGGTTCGCCTACCCGCATTTGTAATAAAATCCAAGCGACAAAGAACAAAGAACAGGTCGTTACGAGGGCAGTTATAGAAGATGTTAACGGGCATCGCCATATATGTCCAGGAGTGAATAAAGTCATATAGTTGGTTGTTAACCCTACTTTTCAAGGGTCCTGATCGTCAAGTACGCGTTGTCTAATTTCAAATCACTTTCTCTTGTTTTTCTTTGAACCCTTGTCATCCAATTGTTCATCCGACCTGCATCAAAGAAAGCAGTTCCCAACCAATACGACCATAGTTTGGACTAGATCTTATAGATCATCGAGTGCTAGATTACATCTGTGCCGTCTTTGATCCTCTTCTATATATCCCCTCGGCTTTAGGAAAAATTCCAAACATCTCGCTTTGCTGTGACAGCCGTTGCAGGAATGACGCCAGAGGAGAAGCTGGATGAGAAAATCCGCATTGATTTTATATCATCAGATCAAATCAGATCACTCTCGTCTTCATCAGCAACGCCTCGAAATACCCAACGACATCGCTGCCAAAACGACAATGCGATGGATCTCGACTCTCCTCCACCGCCCTCATCAAAGGGAAAGGCATCTGCTACTCGACCAGCGCCATATAGAAATTATAAAACAGGTCCCGTATACAGGCTGACAAAGAGCTTGCTGCAAACATACGTCCACATTAATGATGTAAGTTGCTGGGGAAAACCTTGTGGTGAATCGATCTATATGCACTATGTAAATCGAACCTTACATGTATTGCTGTTCTAGGTCTATTACGAGGCTGCTAACAGACGAAAGAGGCAGATACCGCCTCCCGTCCCTGTTGATCCTTTACGGCATCCAGAGTCACCCAAAAAGAATAAATCCTCGCATAGTCAGCCACAACTGCAGAGGCCGCCGAACGAACCTGCTAGTACGTATATCATATTGGTTCCTTACTCACATTTGGATAGATCTGATCTGATCTTTCTCACTTACTAGCACACAATCATGGCTATGATGACGAGAATGACGACTACATCATACATGAGAACGAGACGTGGAATAATCGATTCAAAATCATACGTCTGTTGGGGAGAGGATCCTTTGGACAAGTAGTCGAAGCACATGATTTGCATCAGGGAGGGAACGATAATCGAGTTGCAATCAAAATCATCAAGAATCGAAGAAGTTTTAAGGCACAGGCATTGATTGAAGTTAGGATATTGGAATATTTGAATGCTGCTGATCCGGATGATTCGAAAAATATTGGTGGGAACGCATGCTGTGGATTGCTCGTTTTTTTGTTGGACTGACATTATCGCAATACCCTAGTTCGAATGAACGAGAGCTTCATGCATAGAGGGCATTTATGTCTAGTTTATGAAATGCTATCGCTGAACTTGTACGAGTTACTCAAGAGTGAGGGTCTGCGAGGCCTGTCGCTGGGTTTGGTCCGAAGGTTTGCTGCCCAGATACTCCTCGCATTGTCCTTTCTCTCCCGTCCAAATGTACAAGTCGTGCATTGCGATATGAAGCCTGAAAAGTAAGAGAGGTTCACGAACACAATTTGTTGACATCTGGGTTTTTTAACCCACTCTTTCAAACAACTAGCATTTTACTACGGGATCATCAGAACAAGGGCAGTGCTCTCAAAGTGATTGATTTTGGATCATCGTGTTTCATCAATGAACGAGTATGGACTGCAGTCTTTTACACCTACTGTTGAGCCACAACACAAACCTAACACCTTCATAAAATTAGGCGTATTCATATATTCAATCTCGATTCTACAGGTCACCTGAAGTCATTCTCGGTGCGCCATATGGATGTCCAATAGACGTATGGTCATTAGGATGTATATTGATGGAATTACTGACAGGAACTCCGATATTTCCCGGTACGAGTGAGCATGATCAACTACTTCTCATATCCCGACTATTGGGTCCTCTTCCGTCGTCGCTGGTATCTTCTGGACAACGAGAGAAGGTGGCAAAACTTGTAACGAGAAATCCAGATGGAACATATTCTGTCGTGCCGCTACGAAATAGTAATAGTACAGGTGGTAGTGCGACACGAGCCGCTACAGGAGGACTGGTTGGTGGACGACCTGGTCAAGAACAGCCTACCAAAACACTATGGGATGTCGTGAAAGAACGAGTATATGATGATGCATATCGGATGGCAGATCCAGAGGCGCCATCGGTTAAAACGAGTAGTAGTCAACCAACAGCATCCATTCAAGATTACGCCAAATTCACTGACTTGCTGGCCCGAATGCTGGAATATGATTCCTCGTTACGTATTCGGCCTGACGAAGCACTCCAGCACGCCTTTTTCAAACCATGTTTTGATCAAGCTGTGAATACGAATTGGACGCATCATCCTAGTTTAGGTCAACCGCTGCATCCAACATATGCTGTAGCTGCCGAACCGAATGATGTTGGTTGTATCAGAGCATCGTCCATGACAACAGCAACGACACCACCGCCAGCTGGATCTGGTATACCGGTTGCGGTAACGAATAGTAATAATAGTAATCATAGCAGCCAGACCAAACCAACCATTTCGTTGCCAAGTCAGCAGTCGCATGCACCCCCAGTTTCATCCATCGTTACAGCTTTGCCGATAAAAGGAGGTACAGTGGCAGCATCACAGCAAGAAGTACCCAAATCCGAGACAAAGAGGCAACGGAATAGTAATGCTAGGACAAATAATACGAGGACTTATAATACCAGATCACATTCAGATCCACCTGTCGCATTGGTTGAGACACGGACTAGTAGTAGCAGTACAACAGTAACATCCACTAGATCTAGGACGCGGCGTGCTGGACTTGGTGGTCTTGCTGGTTCGAGAGACTGAGTTAAAAAGGGGACAAATTTGGTCATTAATAGAATGCATAGGAGAAATGGTCGTTTCAATGTAAAAACAAGAAAAACAAGCATCCAAAAATCACAGAAGCATCGTAAATATTTTCCCAAGATGGAAGTAAATTACTATTTTTATAACACTACCACAGCACATACAACACATTCCTGTAAAAAGCTTCAATTTTTCAATGACAAGCTCGGATTGCCACACATAAATATGTGTTTTGTTGTTCTTTCTCTGTACTATTCAAACCATTCAAGCTTCAATGCTTGAGCCATGAATGCGAACTTGTCGGACGCTTCTTCAATGCGTTGCTTTGTGCTCTAAAAGCGACGAAAAGAGAATTTTTCAGACGCCCTGCACATGACATAAAACGCTCATAAATGACCTTACCTTTCCAGCACCATGCCCAGCCTTAGTCTCAATACGAATCATAAGAGGCTGCACATTGGTCTGCCCAGCAACATGCTGCAACGTTGCTATCAGCTTGTGTGAATGCAACGGAACCACGCGATCGTCGTGGTCGGACGTGCATAATAGATAAGCAGGATATGTCTGATTCTTGACATTATGAAGCGGTGAGTATTTAATCAAAGTTTCGAAATCCTCCTTCTTGTCTGGATTTCCATAGTCTGATACCCATGCGTGGCCGATTGTGAATTTGTGGAAGCGGGCCATGTCCATAACGCCAACGTCAGCTATACTACAACCGAAGATATCGGGGGCTTGGTTTGTACAGGCTCCAACTAGTAAACCACCGTTTGATCCACCGTTGATGGTGAGTTTGGAAGAGTTGGTGTACTTTTCGGAGATGAGATATTTGGCGGCGTTGATGAAGTCGTCGAATACGTTTCTAAGAGCGAAAAGAAAAAAATGTAAGAAGACTCAAGTGTTCCGTATCCGTTAATAAAACGGCGTAGCAACGATGACTTCTACCCTATTCAAACTTACTGCTTCTTGTCAAGTTTCCCGTCCTTGTACTATCATAACTTGGTGTTAGAAGGGCCGGGGTTGCAAATAAAGCCAATACATGATCCCTTCACACAGCCAATACATACCCATTCTTCTCCAAATTCTGCACCTCCACGTAAGTTGGCTACAGCAACGACACCATGCATATGCTGTATAAACGTCTGTGGCACCAAAAATATACAGTTAAGCCAAGTAGACAAAAAATGAAAGATGTGGGAGAGACTTACCAGCCAAGTGACCGAAAACGAAGGCAAGATCGATATATTAAAACCACCGTAGCCTGTTGAACCATCGAGAAGGAGTCAATAACTATAAGTATAAACCGTACAGCAACAACGATACGAATGGCGCCAGATGACTGACCGTAGAGTAGAGTCGGATTGCTACCGTCCAGCTTTATCCCTACGAAGTTCGATATGTTCAACCCAGACAACCACGGGCAAGCAAATTCCCAAAATCATTTGCATCACATACCTTTTCGAGCAATAATATACATGGGAACCTTAACACCACCAGTACTCTCATACCACACTTGTTTCGTCTCATACAAACTAGCATCATATCCAGCAATCTTGGTAGTCTTAAATACCGAAGAAGTCATAGTCTTGGAATCAAACCTCGTAATCATTCCTGGAGTCAAGTACGACGTGGTTTGATAAAATACGTCGGTGCCTTCTTTACGACATGTCATTGATGCTACTATTGATCCTGTAGCTAGAGGCAGCTCTGCTGGTGATAATGGGTCACCAGATGGTAGGGAGTAGAGGCGTGCGATATGTTTTACATCGTGCAGGTATACGATTATAAGCTTGTTGTGGTCAACGACTCGTGCCTGTTGGAGTACGTCCTGGGATTGAGGAATGACTTCAACCATGCCCAGTACAGGATTGTTGAGATCAAATTTCACGATTCGTTTGCGGGGAGCGTTGAGAGTTGTTACAAAGTAAAAGACTGTTTCGTCGTTCGTGATGCTAAAATTGAAAGTCAAAAAAAGGACCTAATCTATGATTGGATTGCATGACTGACACTCACTAGCTGAACTCGGCCTTGAAATCATCAACAATCTTATTCCATGTCGGAGCTGCGACAATACCCTTTGGATCAATTTCAGCAACGTAGACCTTGGTTTCTGGATCACAGCTTTGGACCGTGGACATGATTAGGTATTTGCCATCATCAGAGACTTCAGCGCTGAACATGTGATCGGGTTCAGTCTCATCCTAGGAACCAAAAAGTTCAATCATCAAACACTGGGCATGAGCTAAAAAAGCAATACATCCACCAGCTGTACCTTGTAAATCAAGACATCATTCTCCGAATCAGTTCCTAGCTTATGATACATACACAATTGGTTCTTGTTAGTATCCGTCTCAGTACCCTTATCATTATTATTTGGAATCTTTGATGGTGGGAGGTATCGATTATAAAAGTATCCTAAATCGTCATGCGTCCATTGAATTCCTGTGAATTTGGCCCATTCAGTTGGCTTTGGTTCAACGTCTTCAGGGGTTGCGTCGGCGGTTTTACGGACGTGGATTGTTACCCAGTCGGAACCAGAAGCTGATATCCCATAGGCAAAGTATTTGCCGTCTTCGGTGAATGAGTATGTGTTGAGGGATACTGTTCCATCGTCAGAGAGTGTGTTGGGCTATTTTCATGGTGATTTCGTCAGGATTGTGACAGGAGAGAACTGCAAAAAAACGAGAACCAATTTCCGACCCATGCGGTCCTGTCGACATGTCAACGTACATCGAAAAACACACGAGGTTCACCATCCAGAGAGTCTTGTTTGTACAAAACACTCTGAGCCTGCAAACCAGAGTTGTGGAAGTAGTAATAAGAGTCTCCACGTTTGAATGGACATCCAACACGTTCATAGTTGAACATTTCCGTGAGTCTCTTTTCAAACTTGTCGTGCAGTGCAGACGTTCCAATAAAGTCTTGAAAGCACTTGTTTTGGCTTTCAACAAATGCCTTGGTTTCAGCCGAATCTGGATCCTCTAAGAAGCGATATGGATCTGCGATTTGTTGGCCATGAAGGTTCTCTACAAGAGTTTCATCACGTCGAATCGCCTATGTAGCAAATGTGGGTGGAATTTAGTAAGATTCGATCAGGATTCTTTTCTCGATGTCGCTCACAATCCGATAGGATTGATTTGACAAATACGCAAACGTTGAAATGTTGTCAAATACGTTCAATTCAAGCACTTAAGGGGACCTACTGGATAAGTAAAAGGCGACACGCCATGAGTATTACTGGTAGTAGTGATTGCCATAGTTTGGGGCTTGATAAAGTTTACTAATTGTCTAAGTCGTCGAAGTGCAAACATTTAACGAATCGTGATCGAGCAACCGAGTCAACGTCACGTAGACCTACACGTCAAAATATCAATGTTTAATCTGTACAAATCCAAACTTTATTATTATGCAATGCGTTTCCTTTTATACGTCGTATGCCAACCAACTACAACAACGCGACAAGACCTAGTTCTCAATTACAGGCTGAATGAGGGTGACGTTGTCTCCCTTCAACAGAATGCGACCTATTGGTTTACTGGTTTCGGCTTTTGAATTGACTTCGACAGCATCATCCACTACCAAGTTCATGAATTCGTCAAAACCCTAGGTTTGAGCCTTGTTAGTTAACGATGCATGCGTAGCAAAGTAAAGAGTGGGGGTAATTTACAATGATTTTGCCTTCAATCCTCATGTCAACTTGTTCATACAGCCATATCTTGACTCTGTTTTTCTATTTTTTTTCGGTCAATGTTAGAATGTTGATGATGCTGGGATTGGAGAGTAGAAGATGGAGCTTACACTCTGCAAGTGTTTGAAGATGACATTCTAAATATGATTTATTGTTAGAAAACAGAGCTATAAGATGTTGTTGCTTGAAAACAAGTTAAAACTTACGATGGGAGCAACCATCACTTTCTGTTATGACGCGCGCAGTGGACTAGTTAGTAAAGTACAGACAGAGTTGAATATGTACATAGAGCTGTCTTACCTGTACTCTTGTGGCCATGATGAGCTTCTTCCCTGTTGCTTTTAGTCAACAAGAACGTGCTGCTGTTTGCTGAACGAATTTGATGGTTTGGCAACACAGAATGGCATCAAAATAGAAGCTCGGATGTGATTACATGTACATAAATGAAATGTTCAAACACTTCTGTCTCGTAAGTCGGTGTGAATCTTTCGCAGGAAGCCACGTCTACAGATTGTGATCAGAGTGCTGCGATTGCTCTCTCTTGAACACGTTTCCAGTCCATTCCCACTCGATTCAAGTACGTATTTGAGCAATATTGTTCTACTATTCACATCCCATTGCCTCTCAACCGTACATAAGCTTCATAGCTCCTTTCAATTGCTACTCCAACTCTATTTGAACAGGAAGGGCCATCTTGAGAGTGTCTTGCTATAGGAGACGGCAATGTCCAATGCTATAGTGGCAAGCCTGTTATTCTTTATACTCAGATATATAGCATATACCGACGATGAACAAATGAACCAACTCAATTTCTGTCGTTTTTTAGCCTGCAACGTATCGATGGATTATCGATGATGTGATCAACCGCTTGTCTGCCCAGGCTGCTGAATTGGGTGTAGAAGACCACACCCTCACTGAATTGCAATCGGTAATCATCATTGGTTTGTCATTGCAACTTCAAGTGTATTGAACCATACACGTAGATGTGGGAACGAAAGCTAGTAGAAACTAGATCTGCTGCTTATGCTGCTCCGCTATTCGATGTACAACCACTTGCTCCGACAAAACCACCTGCTGGAAGCCTCGTAAGTTCAAAGGTTTGGATGTAGTCAAGACACAGTGCTGCCGAAACGTGTCAATCGCCTCGTTGACTCTCTTAATGCTGCCAAATTAATTATGAATACGATCTCTAATTTTTTTGTTATTGACAGGGGGGAGCATCGTCAGGTTCAATCCTACCACCACATTTACAAGCTCAAATGCGAGCAATGCAAGATCTACCCCAATACGATGGAGCATCCGACGAAATTATAATAAGAGATGACGCGTCATTGCCTGGCAGAGGTCGAGGTCGACAACTACTACAATCAACGTTCTCATCACAACAATCCATACAACTACGACGTTCAGCAAGTCTGCCAACTCAACCAACACACAGAACAATACCGCAGCATGATGGAGGTGATGACGATGACGACGATGGTTTAAAGGTGGGAAAATGCTACTATATTCCAGGATCATGCCTTGTTTCTTTTGCATCTGACTCTCAACGCCCCCGTTCTTCCACAGGATGATATTGGCTCAGATCTGGACGATGATGACGAAGAAGATAACGAGAACGAGGTGGAAGTACCAAACACCATATTATGTCTATACGAGAAAGTCAGTCGGGTTAAAAATAAGTGGAAGAGTACTTTTAAAGATGGTGTCGTTATGGTCAATGGGAAGGACTACTTGTTTAGCAAGGTAAAGTAGAGGAATTAGATGTCTCTGGTTTCTGGTTTTGTTGCCATTGGGGATGTCAAGAAACCACATCAAGGATGAAATCCCTGAATGCTTCGATAACTAGTTGCTCACAAATCTCATCATATGCTAGGCAACCGCTGAATTTGAATGGTAAACTCGCGCATCATAGCAGTTACAATCTTCTCCCAAATAGTACATATTGGCTGTTTGATGTCTCTAAAGGACATATTTGCGTTGCCTCCAAACAAATAAACACACGATTGTATCTACAAACTCTTTTACCAATTGGTTTACAACTCTACATGGTTACAAATCATCATCGATAAGGTATATATTATTTAGTCCTTTCATGGCTACCGCTTCGCTTAGCAGCAGCACCAGTGGCAGTCTTTTTCACAACAGCAGACTTTTTATTCGGCTCACGTTCCGGTGATGGGGGTTGTTGTGATGGTTCTTTGGATCGTGATTTTCGTCTGTCGGAATCACGAGTAGATCCACGACATCCTTCTTTGAGTAAGTGATCTCTCCATCCCGAATCCGAGGCAGGTATGTCTTCATGACATAATGGACACCGAGCGATTTCTCTATCTTTGGAATGCGCTAAATCGGTGGAAACGTTGTAAGAGCTGAGTGCGAAAAAAAAAAAAAAATCTCATATTCGAACAACTGGTGAAGCTGGTCCAAACTCACCTCTACATTCCCGCTTAGCAACATGCGACAGATACTCTTTTTCCAATACCGCTTCATGACATCTCGGACACTTCTTGACCGTTTTTTTCAAATCACATTCTGAGAACATGTGCTCAGAAAGTGTAGATATCTCAACGGTCTAAAAACAAATCGAGAATTAGTCACTGCTACAGGCAACCTGTAGGTTTTTTTCTCACTACAAACAAGAGCTTACCTTCTTGCACAAGACGCAAATGGTCAGCATTTTGCAGTCCTTGAGGTAATGAGAGTCCAGATTCTCTTCCTGAATGATTTGAAGCAGAATGAGCACACGATTCTGATCGCCATCAAACACAACTTGTCCAAATACCGTAAAAGAGTCGTTCTGCTCATCACAGAAAATGCAGCGTCTATGTGAAGAGTGGGGGGAAAAAAGTCAAGCCCACCTTGACATAAACGATACGGTAAACAAACCAGCTTACCGGTCAAAGTTCCAATCATTGTTGTTGTGCACTTCCGAATTCTTCTGCATGGGAGCTGCATCTGGTGTTTTAAATGCCTTGTTTGGCTCTACATCAACGGAGCGAAAAAATAGTCAGGTCAAGAAAGAAGCGTTGCGAAGTCCACACACGCTTACTGCTCCCTTTCTTGGCAGCAGCAGTTGCAACAGCGTCATCAACTTCTCCCTCTGCTCTGTGTGGATCAATTGAAGCTTGAGACTTCCGACCGAAATTCTAAAAGCCGAAGGGAATTTCAATGTTTTGTTATGGAAAACGAATGTTTGAGCTTGGAGATATAACTTACCAATCCAAAGAATCTCTTTTTTGTCGCTTCCTTTATTTGAGACGTTCGTTAGTGTGAGATATTCTTAGCACTCAATTCGATTGTACATGAGTGCTCTAAACGCGTACCTCGTGTGGCTCCTCCTCATCGTCTGATGTCATTCCTATACCAAATACGTTTAGCAAATTTAACAAAAGACACCCCATTATTCTGGATCCATACCCTTAGACTTTGGTGATGCATGGTCACCAACATCAGTACGCTCTGACGTAAGTTTCCGAAGCTCTTGTAATTGACTCTGCAGTTTCTGAATCTTAGCAGCTTGGGCCTTGGTCGGCTGTGGCTCATCAGACGACTTTGGAACTACGGCTAAAAAGAGAAGATATGCAGCTCAGTTCACCGCTGGCTGCGTGCATTGTTCTACATACGCTGTCTAGCATTCTTAGCCTTTGGCTTAACATCATGTCCATTGGCTTTCGTAATAGCATCCTCAACATTCTGGACTTGTTGAGGCCTCAGAGGCTTGAGGTATGGATCAATGACACCTCGTGATCCTTTGACAGCAATTTTGGCAGTCACGACAACAGATGCTTCTCGGACTTCGTGGGCGGAACTTTGTAGTAGTGGGCCTGCTAAAGCCATGACAGATTCAGCATTGAGACTACCTCGATTATCTAGGCCGTATTCGTCCAGGAGTCTCGAAATGACTTCGAGTCTGCCGATAGCCACTTTGGGTAATGGGGGTTTCTTTGTCGGGAATGGTTGCGTTAGGATAGGGAGGACTAGGGATGGGGAACTACTTCCTAGTTCTACAATCACGTCAACTGCTGCCTGACAGAAGGACAGATTTGTAAGAGTTGAACCACCAAAGAGTTTCAGACTTCAAGAATGAGCTACCTGTTTAACTCGTGTATTCGAATGGGCCACAAGAGCCAATATCACAGGAGTGATTTCCTCGAGGTGACCACTAACAGTAGAAGCACTCAAGTTTGCGGATGCAGAGAGCCCTAACGTGCAAATACACAAATTAGCAAAAAGAACTTAAAGGACAAAGCTGAATTGAGCTTTTTTCTTACTCTGAACAGCTCTTTCAAAATCCAATGCGAGACACAAACACTTTTCACTCGTATACGTGAAAGCCTTTGTCGAAACTTGATATCCAGCTCTGACAACCGACTCTGATACGGTGCTACCCGATTTTCCACCAATGGGAGCAATTTGAGCTATATGCCGTGCCATGTCCTTCAATCCTTGTTCCCTAGATCCCGACTCTTTCGACAAAAACTTGGCTATACTGGGTTGCCCAAATACTTGAATACATGATTCCCAATCACGACTCTGATCATCAGTTAGTCCATCGTCGGCCTGTTTAGATTTCGATTTCGGCATTTCGGAACCTGATGATGCTCGTGACATCGTGGTTGCTTTTGGTGACTTGACAGCAGCTGGAGCTTTCGCTTCCATTCGATGTGCTTGTGGTGATGTTGGCGATCCTGGTGGTGGCGTCCTTGCGAGTTGCTCGGTTGATGTAGGTGGCTTCTGATATTCTGGACGAGTCTCTTCGTCTTCTGGAGCAGTTTCTGGCTCTCGCTCCTTCTCTTTCTCTAGCTCCTTGTGTTTACTTGGTACATGTACAGGCCCTGCATCGATGGATTTCGATTTGGGGGAGAGAGCAGGTTCGGAGCCCATAAACTGCGACATGCGCCTCTGCTCTGTAAGACTACGAATTGGTGGTGATTGCTCATCGGGTATTAAGACTGGCGGCGGTGGTTCTGGTAGTGATTCTTCAATATTCTTGACAAGGTGCGCTCGTTTGCGGATAACGTCGCCATCAGCCGTCCACTCTAGACCAAGAACGTCTAGTTTTGATCTCAAATCTTGTAAATGGCTCTCCACTTCGTTCTACGAGAGACAGTTTAATTCCTGGGCAAATAGCAACAAAGAGCTAGGAATTACTCTAATAGACTGTGCTTGCTCGTAATCTTCTGCAGATATTGCATCCTGCAAATCCTTCTCCAATAGAGCAATATCTTCTCCAGTCTAATTGTTTCATCATTGATTGTTAGATTGTATCTTGAAGACACGTCTGTAAATGTCTCATTGTACCAGAGTAGCAGCATCACGCGCATGTTTCAGAGATTTCGCCAGCAAAAAATCTTCATCTAATAGAAAGCATGGATTGTCAGTACAGATAAAAGAGGGTAGTTTCCTGTGGTAAAATACCTAGTACGGCCTGATGTTTAGCAAGTTGTATAGCCTCAACCAATTCCATAGTCTCTTTATCTCGAGCCATTCGAAAAGCCAAATCGTCTGAAAGCCCAACTTTCTGATCTGTTGCGGTCTTGTGCACTAATCCCCATAGAGCACCCATAGCATTTGATTGAGGTGGATCCAGTCCTTCCTCTCCCTTATCGAACACAGGAATGTAAGTTCGTGCATTCAGTGCCAGCAGATCAAATTCAGTGTAAAGAGTTATAACGTACAAATAGTGCATGGGCGGTAGGTATCGATTGTGCGTAATATGCTGAATCACGTATCTGACCGAGCACATTGACAGCGATCAGAGCCACCTAAAAGTGATAACAAATGCATCAACAAGCCACTAACGAAGGCTGGTAATAGACTGAATAAGTCTCTTGCCAATGACAGCCATACTTGGTTGTAGAGGTTCAATTGATTAACGTAGGGCTTGTGCAGCAGTATCTTAACATAGTCGCCCTCAACGTCCAAATAAATTGACTTGAGCTCTCTAGCTCGATACCCCATTTTGGCGTTATCATTAAGCACCACGTATCTAATTCAATATGGTATGAGATTCAGCTGTACCTGCTCCAAGCAATTCGAAGCATACCCTAGTCGAACAAACTCCACTTTCCGAGTAGATCTCTGCCGATGTCCATTCGACAAGTACGAATCCTCGAAACCGTCATCTTCGTCAGTATCACCATTCAGTAAAAGGTTAGCTGATGGTTTCTGACCCAGAGACGAGGTTTTGGCAACATGGATCTCCATCTTTGTTGGAATCTTGTAATGGTGCACCAGCAATTGAAGCTTCCGTATTCGACAGTTTGCAGATAATCTATAATGCAGGAAATGAGGTTGAAATTAGTTTCAAGCGTTTGGATCGTCGTAAACCACAAAAAGGCAAGTACAAACACACATACTTGATGACAAGCACTTGAGGAAAATGAGAGAATCTCTGGGTAGCCCAGCCTGCATTAACACTGTTTTGATGAGTGACTAGTAGCTGATGAGGTGGATATTGATCCTCATATGAGCTGCATGCTACGACGTCGAATGGAAGCACCTGCATCTGATTTGCCAGACAGAGGCTGATCCGGGAGGTTTGTACGGAATGTTTTCGAGTATACGAGAGTTCCAGAGATGTCAGTATATGATGCGATTGTTTTGGAGTGTTAAAAAGGCGAGTTGATGAAGATCCGCGTTCGCGAAGTAAGTTGAGACAGTTGGGCAGGTGGGGACATTGGCAGTTTAGAGCGATTAATTCAGCGCAGACACACGGAATGCTTAGTCTTGTAAGAGACACGGAATGCTTAATCACGTACGTGACAATTGACTCGGCAAGCACAAGAATCCTTCACACCAAATTGTTTGACAATCTGTTCCATTTACAATCGTATCCTCAAACAGTGCAGCAAGAGACATGGTGTCCTTTGAGGAGATGGGCGTCGAAGACAAACCACACCATCAAGCTCAACTCGAGTCACTCGCTGCCATAGAGGCCGACAGAATGAAGGCACATATCTTGGATCAGGTGGAATTCTACTTTGGAGGGAATCTCATATTCCACATTATTGATTTATTTATCTATTTATCCCCGCCAGCTCGTGTTCTTCTGCATCTTCTACTTGTAACTTGGCATCGCAAATCCAAACATTTCAACTCCAATCATTGGAATGCTGTTGATCAAACTACAAACGGGACCAACGGTAACTCATCTACCACACTTCTATAAATGTCAGATGTAAACCATCTACAATCAAGCACGTTGAATATTCAATTACCAATCCTCGAGTTAGTCGTAGTCGTGTATAAGTATCATTGTCGCTATGCCCTCCTCCGCACAAATCTGCTTCGTTTTCGTCCGTTTCTGTCAACTTGCGTCGCAATCAGAGTCGGGTGTTCGGGCTCGAGGGTATCGTAACAAAAGGACGCGCTAGAAGCTCAACAAACGTACTTGATTACACGTACACGTGTTTGGGAGAAATTATGAATATTCATGAGTCGCGCAGCCAGAATTACTTTTTTGAGTTATGCGGTCAGGTGAGCTCAACACGGAACACCTCCTCGAGTCTAGATCTTCATTCAACGAATACATTCAACGAATGTTGGACTACCTAAAACTAGCTCGTTTCAATTCGTTGAATTAGCCGAAAAGAAGAATTGTTCGAAAGACTTCATTATGTATTAAACAACCCCTTTTACACTGCACTCTTCAAAGAGTAGCCTGACTTCTACTTCCAGAAGATATCGTCTTGACAGCTTCATCAATCTTTCCAAACTGCCATCCCCAACCAGCATTATACAAGAAGGGTCTCATATCAAACCGATTGTCATCAGGCGAGTATGGAGACATGTGATAGGATGGTGGCAATACAGTAGACTTGTGTCGATTGATGGAATAGAAGAAGAAGAACCGTTTGACCTTGGCTGCGATCTGTTTTGTAGCGAGTGAGTGTCAGGGGTACCAAAAACGAGCAGATTTGACAAGCAGATTCCGACTAACCTCTGCTGGACTCAATGTTGGTCCCCATTGCTGTAACAACTTGGTGAACATGCTGAATGGCCCACATCTTGCAACTTTCCTCAGAGTTCCATACACGGAGAGTTCCTTGTATGTCATTCCCATATCAACCTAAATCAAAGACAAATGTCAAGAACGACAAAGAGAACAAGAGTTGTATGCTTTCACACGATACCTCATCTTCCTGAACGTAGTTTGCTGTTATAGGTTCTAATTCAGCAGTAGCTGGTGCATCCAAAAAGCTATCAAATAGCGGTGAAACAACTTTTTTTTCTCGTGGCAAAGTGTGTGCTTTAACTTACGAGTCAAGGATCTCCAGTTTATACTCATCACGAGAGTACAGAATGAATTTCCGCAAATCTGTCTTACTGATTCCTCCAATCGGATTGATATCAGCACTTGAACAATCGTACTTTGTCAGGTATCCACGAAGGCTGACAAAGGGATGAGGATAAAACGTGAATATTTTGAAATCGGAAATGACTTGACGACAACTCACGTCTCATCAACGTTAGCACTACCAAGTACTAGTAATGATCCAGGCAGCCCACGAACCCATAACAATAGTTGAGCAAACAGGTACGCAAGGACCATTCGTAAACGTGCCTAAATCAGTGTGCCATAAGAATACAAAAGGAATGGAATTCTTTTGCTCATCCTTACCTGCACGTTTTGAAGTGCTAAGTTTTCACGTTCTGTGCCCCCATAGACTTTAAATTTAGGAGCAGCACCAGTGACGAGCGTAAACAAAGCCATTACGGCAGCAACAACTGTGTCCATATTCAGATCCACATGGTAGCTATACGAGAAATTTGTAAGCACAAAACTCGAGTGGAAACTACCTTCTGTCATACCTTCCGATCCGGTCTGATAACAACTTGGCTCTTGATCGTGTATCATTACTAGAATTACTTGTTCCCATATAACACGTGTGGAATATACGCCTTTTTGAAACGAGCAATCAGTCAGAGAGGGCTCACACCTCGACCCCCAAAGGGACCTCTAACCTACTTGCAAAACTCAGTTGGATCGGTTGGGGTGTATGTTTCAGTGCCAGCCATACGACGAGCATCGGCTAAAACTTGTTTATCTAGTAATTGGTGGAAAATTCACATTTGATGTCTGGAAAAAAACCGGCGACAAATGTTTAAAAGCTTTTCTCGTACCTCCATTCTGTACTGCCTCACAGACCATCCGACACATAGAATACACAATCAAAGCTGTAGCACAACTGTCTATTCCACCACTCAAAGGTAGAAAGAATCCACCAGATTTTGAGCGACGAAGGTAGTCCCACAACCAACATGCTGGACCCAAACTGCAAAAAAAGAAAGACTGATAATCGAAAACCTTGACCTTTAAGTTGACACTCACAGCCGCTCTTACGCTATTTCTTCTTCTGGAGTACTATAACGGACTTCCATTGGATCATTCGGTCTGATATCAGTATGGAAAGCACTGACTGAAAGTGTGATTGGAGCCCTGACTCGTGGGAATGGTTCAGCTCTTGAAGCTTGCATTCCACGACTCACGATGGATCCACGCATAGATCGAACATCTTCAATATCAACCGTTGCGGAAATCACTTCCTGGAGTGTGAAAAGAAGACGTGACTATAGTCCGACAGCAAAAAACCATTATAACTGTATGGTGTAATGCCTACCACGTCAGAAAGGGAGAATTGCGATCCTTGAGCTACAACGTTGCCATTGACACATATCAAAGCACAACCATCATAGTACACTCGCTCCCCATCACATCCTTGTTGGTTTGCATACAAGTAGATTCCTCCTGACTGCAGAGACGTGAGAATGTATCCCAGCATCACCCCTACATTTTTTTCTACACAGACCTTGAGCATAGCTTCTTTAATCAAATCAACGCGAGTATGAAGTTTTTGGAATTCGTGATGACTTCCACTTCCATTTCCAAAGATTTCAACACCATCCAAAGACATGTGAATGTGAGGGCTGTATTTAAAGGTGCAAAAAATGAGATGGTAGCTAGAGACATCAGATGAAGGAATTTAGATGATGCACGTACCTGTTTGGAGTAAACAACTCTTCACATAATTCGGTTCCGACGACGGTACTAATGAGCAAAAAATGTCTTAATAGACGGAAAGCAGGATGAGTTTAGTTCAATCTTATACTCTTTAGTAGCAACAACACCATCACCAAATGGGACAGTTGTCTAGATGATCGAAATGTCAATATGTTTGTCTGACACAAATGACCACATAAAGTCACCCAATCATACCTGACCAGTAACTTCTTCAACCATTCTAGGCAAGTAATGATCTTCAACAAACTTTGATTTTGCCCAAGGAGTAAACCATCTCATTTCACGATAGTTTCCATCATTGGCCATAAACATTTTGGGCCGAATTAAGAGAATCTTCTTGTTGAGAATGAATACTCGACAATTGTACTTGACGCTTTTATGCACCACTGGCCTAGCGATATTATCTTGATAAGAGATCGTATTATTTGTTATACTGCTATGATGAATATCAGATACGTACATGCCGATATCACATAGAATGTCTTGACATGTAGGATGTACTAGCAATTGAGCGAGAACTTCCCAAGAGTGAAGATATGTGTCACCTATGGGAAACGTGTGTATTGTGTGAGAGAGATCCAGAGCCTCAATGACACAAATTCATTGCACACCTTCATGAAAGTGATCGTTACATCCATATCCACTAATCAGTAATGATGATGTGAGCTCAGAGCGGTATGAATCCACAATTGAATGTATTGATCAAATTACGGTATTTCTAGTTCTGGGCCGAGTCGATATGTAGCACCACGTTCTTTAGCAATACGAATGCTTTCCAGAATGCGTTCCATGTTGCCTTGAAAGTCGAGAGCCCATTGATTCTACAAATTGTGAAAGTGAGTCAAATGTTTGTGAATTTTACGTGATTCTGACAGCCAGATCATGCACATACCAAGGCACATGTAGCCAGTGTAATTAAATGGCCCATTATATCGTCTTTTTCAATGAGGAGTTCTTGTCAATGATTGATACGCCTTTGAAACGTCAAACACACAGAAATCCTAAAAAGACCAAGATGGAAGTCAGACGAGTTGTTGGACCGAGGACTAGCGTTGCACCGATACCGTATATAGCAGCTGATGCGTCGACCAAGGCAAAAAGTCTGTCTCGTCAAGGAGAACGAGTTGGACGAAACCTGGACCAAATCAGACCACTTTGTAAGTGGAACGATCATTTATAATATGAGGCACTGCAAGTTTATGATTCTATTCATTAGATCTGAATACAGGGCTCACCAAGCATGCTAATGGTTCAGCCTACTTTGAAAGTGGAAATCTCAAACTAGCTTGCTCTGTGTGAGTTTTTTCTTCTCGTTTTGGACATCATCTTTGAGTACTTGCACGCGGTGAGGTCGATATACAAGAGCTGATTCCTTTTCATGCTTATTCTAGATATGGTCCTAGACAAGCTAGAAGGCATCAGCTGCTTCATGACAGAGGCTATCTACACTGTGAATTCAAGTTTGCTCCATTCTCGTGCACAAAACGACGTGGTTTTCAAAAGGTAGCAACATGCTTTTATATTGGGATCTATTGCTGTTGAATCATATGTCAAACCTAACGCATTGTTCACCTTGCCTCAGGATGCTCAAGAAACTGAATTCTCGCGAATCATACAACAAGCACTATCTCCTGCCATCAGACTAGAAACACTACCCAAATCAACTGTCGACGTGTTCATCCAAGTGATTGAGAATGATGGAACAACGGCTTGTCTAGCTGCTGCAATTACTTGTGCGTCTATGGCTCTAATCGACGCCGGTATTGAAATGTTTGATCAAGTTTGCGCTACGTCTGCCGTGAGTCTGTTAATGAAACCTTTGCTTCTCGCCTCTATCTTACAACTTATAATCATTTAGTGCTTCTTCAACACTACAATTGCTGTGGATTGTGACTTGGAAGAGGAGACAGGTCAAACTGGGCAGCTCATGGTGTCATACATGCCTTCTAGTAAGGAACTCACTCATATGGTGTTGAGTGGTGAGGTGGATGCAGCGTATTCAGTGGCTGCAGTGGAAATGTGTATGGACGCATGTACGAAAGTGGCTACCCTTACACAGTCCAAGTTGATCAGTTTAGTCAAGAGCTCATAGATAGCTCATAGATATGTAATGGTATAGCAAGGTGTAACAGGTGTAAATATATTTCGCATTTTGACACGACAGCGAAAATAGGTGCAATCGCCGGCTCGAGGGCTTTCACGACATACATAATAAAGAATCGTGATTAAACGTGATAAACGCGTTAGACTTGACTTATTTGTCTTCGTTGAGCTCCTGTTTCAGTGTTTTAAACAGCCCAAACACTCAAAACATCGGGATTTTCGATAACGACTGTCAACAAGCAGATAGAGATAGACAATCGGCTTGAAGTCACAGTTGCATTGCAAAGATGATACACACTGCAAATCCTGTATCAAATCGCATCAGTCCCGAAGAAGCTCGACGCATTCACACCGAAGCTATAACAAGGGACTTCAGGGTAGAGCCACGATTAGGTAAAGCACGATATAGTTGTAAATATTTTCAATTGTTTCGTATTGTCAGAATTTGTTGAATGCTTGCCATTTCCTTATCTGCTTTGCTGTCGTATCGTATTTCACGCTAAACATTTGAATCTCTAAATTCTTTAGATTACAGAACTGTTGCTGGTGTGAATGGACCATTGGTTATTCTCGACAATGTCAAGGTATGTTTGCTATTTTATTGTTGATTACTTTTGTAGAAGGGTAGAACTAATCTGTTTCCGATTTACCTCAGTTCCCCAGGTTTGCAGAGATTGTAACTCTGACTTTGCCTGATGGTACCAAGCGTCAAGGTCAAGTATTGGAAGTTCAAGGAAAGCGTGCTATTGTTCAGGTACACTCCATTTTGCCATTCCCACATCATCTCATCATTTTTTTTGCTCACTTTTCCCTCGGTACTAGGTGTTTGAAGGAACATCAGGTGTCGATGTCAAGCAAACTCGAGTAGAATTCACTGGCGAAACATTGAAGATGCCCGTATCAGAAGACATGCTTGGTCGAATATTCAACGGGTCTGGAAAAAGTATCGACAGAGGTCCAAAGGTCTTTGCGGAAGACTATCTTGATATCCAAGGTCTGTGTAGATTGAGCTTTGATCGATACAGGGAATGTATACAGCAGTGGAATCAACCTTTTTTGGTCTTAGGAATGCCCATCAATCCCTTCTCCCGTATCTATCCTGAAGAAATGATTCAGACCGGTATTTCTGCTATTGATACCATGAACTCTATTGCTCGTGGTCAAAAGATCCCCATCTTCTCGGCTGCTGGTCTACCACACAATGAAGTAAAGACGAGCGCAAAAAAATCCATTTGACAATTCTACATAGTCCCTAACCACTGTTTCTCTTCTTAGATTGCTGCTCAAATTTGTCGACAAGCAGGTCTAGTCCGAAAGCAAGGCAAAGATGTACTGGATATGCACGAAGACAACTTTGCAATTGTCTTTGGTGCCATGGGTGTCAACATGGAAACTGCACGTTTCTTCAAACAAGACTTTGAAGAGAATGGATCTATTGAACGAACTTCCCTCTTCCTCAACCTGGCCAATGATCCAACGTGCGTATATGTGTCTTTGAAAGTGATTTTGAACTCAGGAAAAAATCCACTAACGAATCGTATCATGCCAAAATAGCATTGAACGTATTATCACGCCACGTCTAGCATTGACAACCGCTGAATACTTGGCCTACCAATGTGAAAAGCACGTCCTAGTCATTTTGACTGATATGAGCTCCTATGCTGATGCCTTGCGTGAAGTATCAGCTGCTCGTGAAGAAGTTCCTGGACGTCGCGGTTATCCTGGTTATATGTACACGGATTTGTCCACCATCTACGAACGTGCTGGTCGTGTCGCTGGTAGAAACGGTTCCATTACTCAGATACCTATTCTTTCTATGCCTAATGATGGTGAGGAAAAAGAGGGAAAACTGTTGTTGTTTCACGATCACGCTAAGACTTTGATTATCTCTACTTTAGATATCACTCACCCAATTCCCGATCTGACTGGATACATTACTGAGGGACAAATCTTTGTTGACAGACAATTGCACAATCGTCAGGTAAGTTGAAAGAATCGATGAAGGTTGTTGGATGTATGGCTGAACAGATCAATGTTTTTGTCTGCAGGTCTACCCGCCGATCAACGTGCTCCCATCATTGTCTCGTTTGATGAAATCAGCTATTGGAGAGGGCATGACTCGAAAAGATCACGGTGATGTGTCAAATCAACTGGTATGTTTCCTGGTTGGCATCCAGATTTCGGCTTCTTGACAGGATTTTTTTGTTGACTAATAATCGATCCACCATCACTAGTATGCGAAATATGCTATCGGAAAAGATGCAGCAGCAATGAAAGCCGTCGTTGGTGAAGAAGCTCTCAATCAGGAAGACAAACTGTCTCTTGAATTCTTGGAAAAGTTTGAAAAGACCTTCATTTCACAAGGATATAACGAGTCTCGAACCATTTTCGAGTCACTGGATTTAGCATGGTCTTTACTTCGAATCTTCCCCAAGGAAATGCTCAACCGTATTCCACAAAAGGTTAGTTTTGTGTTTCCATCCTGCATAGGAATTTGTCTTCTGTCGGTTTTTTTCCGGCAGATGAAGCCTGATTTGAATGATTTGCGTATAGGTTTTGGCGGAATACTATGCTCGTGAAAGGAAGAGCAAGATGCCAGAAACTGCTGAAGCAAAGTAAAGCGCTAGGTTAAATGTGGTAATTTGGAGAAGTGTACAGTCTTGCAACCAAAAATACAGTATACTGCTTTGGGTGAATCTGGTGTGGTGTTGGGTCTCTGTTTTATCTCGTTGAATCGTTATCGGTTTGGTGAAGTCTAGCTCGAACTGAAGAAGGCTGATACGTGATCACATGAGGAGTCGGGAAAATTCCACGCCTACTGTAGAAGTTGGAGAGTGGAGAGCTAATCTCCTATTTCGATTGTCTAGATGCCCAAAGTTTACAGATGTTGTGATTCTTACTTCGCTTGATGGTGCTAAATTGCATGTCAAGTACTGGACGCTCAAGAGAAACATGATATTAGCAAGGTGCCCTCAAAGTGTCATTTACGTATCACTCATCAGGACATTCCCGGTGTTTGAGAGAACATCCGGTGCTGATATTACTCGAGTACAATGCACTGGCGAGACACTCAAGATGTCTGAATCAGAGAATGCTTTGTCGAATACTTAACGGGCTTGGGAAAAAATTTAACCACAGAGGTCCGATAGTCTTTGCGGAAGATTATCTTGATATCCAAGGTGTGTACATCAAGCTTTGATCTGTAGAAGAGGTACAAGGACCTTCTGTTCTTAAGAATGCCCATCAACCTTCTGCCTTAGTTATCCTGCCATTGATACACGAGCTCCATTGCTCGTAGTCGCAACGTTCCCACCTTCTCGGCTGCGAATTCGCCTCACAATTAAGCTTGTCGCTGTAAAGTTGCACATGATCTACTCTGAATGGTTGCCAACCGCTTGTTTCTCGAACCCATACATTGCTGCCTGAATTTGTCGAAATGCAGGTCTAGTCAGAGGACAAGAGCATCATGCTTTATATATGCAGCATGGCAACTTTGCTATTGTCTGTTGAAGCCATAATGGCGCAACATAGACCCTGCTCGTTTCTTCAATCAAGAATTTTGAGAAAATGGATCTATTGAGGTGGCAATACTCGTCCTCAACCCTGCCATTGATTGAACGAAGGTATTGTGCGTATAACGTGATTTCACATTACCCAAAAAAAGACCACATCACCGACTCATCATTACAACCCGTTTAGTGTAACCAACTCCTGAATACCTAGCCTACCAATGTGAAATGCGCATTCAGATCATTTTCTCTGATATGAATTCCTATGCTCTGATACTTTCTGTGAGCTTTCAACTGCTCGTAACGAACATCCTGGTGGTTGTCGTGGCTACCCTGGTTACATGAACACGGACTTGTCTTTATAAGCGTGGTGGTCGTGTGGCCAGTACATATGGGTTTTTTAATCATGTTTCTTTTCGTTTATGCCTAACGATGGTGAGCTCAAACACGCAGCATAAGCAAGAGGAAAAATATGAATGAGACCTCGGCTTTTCGTATGGATACTCAATACACATACGCATCTCAGTTATGCTGTGCTAAACACCTACACCATTCTTGTTTCGTTTGTGGAAGCTGCTAAGATCACCGTGATGTGTAAAATCAACTGGTTATCCTTCTACCCTTATAGTTTCTTTTTTTTGTTATTGACTCATCATCGTTGTATTCCAAACTAGTATGCAAAACACACTGTTCATGTACTGCTGCCGTGCTGAACCACGTCGTCGCTGAAAATGCATTCATTTAAATTCGTGGGTCCGAAAACACCTGTCTTGTCACAAAGCTACTTTTGAGGCGCTGTATTCAGCGTGATCTTTACCCTAACTCTCCGCCGACGGGATGAACAATGGTGATTTACAAAAAGCATCCTGTGCGTTTTCACGTTGACTAGAATGCGTCATGCTCTCCAAAATATTTTTGTTTATCATTTATTTTAACCCAATTGGTAGGAAACATTCCAAGTCGACACACATGTCAGCAGCATTTTTCTTGGTTGCACATGTGGCGAGGTTCCAGTGATTTTATTACACGGTGGACTCCCATGTTCATTGACTTTGAGCCCACGAAACATCAATCGATGTTTGGACGTTTGACTACCCTTTGTGGTTATGATGGTAGCTCGTGTTTTTCAGACTTGAATATCGTGTAAGCTGATGATAATTCGAGGAGTGTAGCGCACAATGCTATTTTCCGCGACAACTATTCGTCCCTATCGAGTTTCAAACACAAGAGTGATTGTAGAATTCGCTTTGTTCTGCAGGTTGTAAGCTGCATCGACCAACCAAATAAATGTGCGACTCTGTTTACATGAGTACGCGTGAGTAATCTCGTGGTTTGACTTGGACAATATCACCCTCACTCACTTACTTATTGCTCGTTTCTTCGAAAATCCACACACTTTGAAATCAACCCAAAATTTCTACCAATCGCTTCCTTTTAAAGCGATATAGCAGGACATCATGTCAGACTTTGAGAGATTACTCCATAAGACATCGACAAAGACAGCTGCTGCTGAAACAGTTTCGACCAGCATTCGTAACGATGTCACTCTCATTTTTACTCAAGAGGGGCCAGCAAGAGGGACAATAGTGGAGGGTACTATTGAATTTCTTGGCATTCCATATGCTGAACTTCCCGTTGGGTATGTCTGATTAGTCTGACTTTGGTGACATCTCGCTCAACATTATTTTAACCCGTGTTTTGATTTAGCTCTCTACGATGGCGACCACCAATACCTCCAGCGAAGCGTGATGGAATATTTAGCTGTATCAAGTTCGGGTGCGCGTTGGAGACGTGTTGAAAACTGGATGTCTGCTAAAGCCTTGATCAACATAGTCATGGATGTCCGCAAGTGCTCGCTACTCAACCAGAAGGCTTTCGAGCCTTCAACGACAACCAAAAGAATCTTATATATTCCGAGAATTGTCTCACTTTGAATGTTTGGACTCCTTTGCCAAGTACTGAACCGGCTCAAGAACAACGAACTGCCACTGGATGGGGCAAAACAGCTCGAACAATTCAGAATATGGGTCATCCTGTGGTTGTGTGGATTCACGGTGGTGGATGCGTGGAGGGTCATTCAAGCAGGCCCGTATTTGACGGGAAGGCATTAGTGAAAGCTTCTGGGGGCAAACTGATTGTCTGCAGCGTTAATTGTGAGTATCTGAATATGGTTCACATTCGTCTTGAACTCGATTGCCGTGTTAATTTTCTACTTGAAGTTTCAAGATTCCTTGCGTCGTGCACTGCACAATCTAATCCTTCAATTCGTGTCTAGACAGGCTGAACGTTTTCGGCTTTCTCGCTAGTAAAGAGCTGCAGGAGGACTCTAAAGGTTTGGCGAACCGTTTTGAACCCCTACCTTCATGCTTTTGTTTGCTCTTGCGACTCACGCCATTCGCTTTCTCAGATGGCAGCGTTGGAAACTGGGGTCTCCTAGACGTGAGGCAAGCCCTCATATGGATACGCAACAACATTGACAGTTTCGGAGGAAATCCGTCCAACATTACAGTCTTTGGAGAATCAGCTGGCGGTGTCTTGACTGGATACCTCCCTACAGCATTCAAAACAGACCATCTATGTGTTCGAACGCTGCAAATATCAGGAGTCAGCAGCACTATCAAACCACAAACCATTCAAGAATCACAACATGTATTCGATACGCTCTGCAAGCTGACCAATTGTCCGGCAAATGCAAAGGGACGTGATAAAGTAGAGCATTTAAAGACCATACCGTCGTCGGTGCTGATTAAAGCCGTGGAGCAGATGGGGTTGAAAGTTATGGGGCCAGTGCTTGATAATGTGGTTGTGAAGGAGACGCCTAGCGAGGCTTTCAGGAAGGGTAATGTAGATTTCATGTTCAGGGAGGCGATGCTTGGATATTCTCTGAACGAAGTGAGTGAGGATAATTTCTCACCAGTCGTCCAAATTCTCAACGATTTTGAAATCTAGGGAGGCTTATTTAGTGACTTGTTTCCCAGCACGGATGCATTCCATGGATTTATGAAATCAGCATACCCAAATCAGTCCGACATGCTAAAGGCCAAGTATCCCGGCTCATCTGCCAAAGACTTGAAAGCAGCTGTAGAACAATTCATCGGAGACAGTCTCTTTGATGCTCCGACGAGATCCACGGCTCGACTAATAGCTGCTTCAGGAATCAAAACATACTTGTATCGTTTTGAAGTGCCACTCGAACGTTTGAAGGACTTCCACACTGGAGTTGTGCATAGTGGCATCTTGCCATATGTTTTTGGACAAGAAAAGCTTCTTACGGAAGCTGAGAGGGCGACTGCAAAGAGATTTGTCGGATTCTTCACTCGTTTTGTAAGTGCTCTTCGTACGATGAGAGATTGGACCCTTCATTGATTGCTGTCTTATAGGCTACAAATGGTGATCCGAATGTGACTGCTGGATACGAGGGACGAGCAGGCTGGCCCAGGCTTTCTGGGAAGAATGGGAACATGATTGTTTTTAAGCCCGATGGGACTGAAGTTGAGAACGAATCCAGCCATCGAAATGAAGTTCGTAGCTTTGCGTTTGGAGACTTCTTTTACATAAAAATCTAATCTGCTTCTTTCTTCTAGTACTATGACTTGTGGGATTCCATCCATGAACCGTCGTCGTCCAAGTTATAAACTTGGAAAGAAATCCGACATTAAATTGTTTGAAAAATTCTAAATACAAGTAATAGTTTCTTTTCCATATTCAGGTTTGGCATTGTCTCGAAATGTCTATTCCGGTTTGACTTCTCTCGAAGGCGGTAATGTCTCAAAATCTGATCCCGAACTCCTCCTTCTTCCCGAATTGTCATTGGAAGTACTACTTATTCCAACACTTTCGAGCCCGGCTGGTGCAGTAGGGAACTGTTGGCTCTTGAAGGGGAGCAGAGTTGTGCTTGTGCAAAAGTAATCTATGGCAGTTTTTCGTAGTTTGGTGAAGCAGGTAGTCTGGTAGGAAATCGGTTGGATTGGGATGTGGCTTGGAAGGAGTACTGGTACAAGATCGTATCTCCGTAGTAATTGGGTGAGGACGGAAGTGTGATGTAGTACGTTTCGCTCCATATCGGATACGGACGTATCTAATCAAAGGAATTGGTAAGGACGAGCAAGATGCAGCGACCCCCCATTTCAAATGGCAGCTCCAAATACAAATCCAAGCCTCGTCGGGAAGAAAAACGTACCAAAGCTCCCAAGGTCTAATATTCGTTGCTGCTGAAGTTCAGTACCCTCGTTCTCAAGGGTGATTGTTATCAGATCAAGAGCATTGAGACTGAGCTTGAGATGTTTCGATGCAGCTAGAGCGAGTTCTAACGACACAATCCACTTGATCTTTGAGAAGATCACTTTGTCGATGACGTGTAAGATCATGATTTCGATCACTAAGATACAAAGAGTGAGATCTCATGATTAAAATATCACTAATATAACAATTAAACTAGAATTTACTAGTGGAAATCGCGTCCATTTGAGATTCATACCAGACATATTATTAGCACCAATCCAGGGTGTTTTCGCGAATTGTGAGAGCGACATTGGCTTTCCGCGTTCATGACGGTTCCTTGCCGCCGGGCTCATTTCCTCATTCATTTTCTTGACACGTTCGAGCGCACAACTTTTTCAAGCAAAAAATCACGTTTGATGCCACTTTGAAACCGTGCTTACTTTTAAACTTCCGTAGGAGGGCTTGTGATCCATGTCATCGATTGACGATTTTGATAGCTTCGATACTTTCCTAGACAATTTCCACTCTTCCAAGCTAGAAGGTAAGTTCTCAGTCCTGTTTGTTGTGTGGTTTTTAAAGTTTCCATTTTTTTGCATAAAAATGTTTTGCCAGAGATAGAACAAAATCATGGAAGCATTCAAAATTAGAACTTATCAGCAGCACCTCCTCCTTCATTCTTTCTTCCTGAACCAGATCTTTTGGAGACCCAAACATTTAATCATTAACACGCTCTCTGGTTTACTTAGATTCTGCTAACGATACAATGAGAGACTTTCCATTGCCTCCTAAAGTCTCCCAGCCGACTACATCATGGTCCTTGACTGCCGGGCCAAATCACTTTCAAACGATGCCAGCCAGAGTTGCATATCACCAACCATTTTCAAGCGGACTGAACTGGATGGGCGGGAGGAAAACGTCTGAAACATCGTCACCAATCACATGGGCAATAGCCCCGAACATAGTAGTAGAATCCAGGTCTCGCTCAAACTCTCTACGGGATCTTGACGCAACGATAAACATTGTAGACCAACAGGTGCAGATACAACAAGACCACGTAGGGCCTCAAGTCGCCAAAGCTCTCGAGAATATGCTGCTGACTAGGAGCGCCGCCTCTGCAGAAACGGTCGTTGACGATGAGCACACCAGCTATGGTGCGAAGGATAATCTAGAAAAGCATAGTATTGTTGCATCTCCAATCTCTGAAGAAGGCAATGAGCCAACATCGTCGTCGTCATCCCCGATAATAATTAAACAGCAGCCATTGACTACTATTACAGCACCGATACCTCAAGTGTCAAAAACCGATATAGATAGCATAGATGAGGATGATGTTGAGGCTACTGAACGGACGGCATTAATAGCACCTCCGATGTCAATACCGTCAAAGAAGCAGGCTTCTGGCTGGGGCTGTCTCTGTCTGTCAGTTGAAACCGCAGAGTAGGAACGGGACAAGCTTATGTAGATACAATCTCAACGATACCAAAACTCATACTATAAACAAACGTCTATATTTACAGACCCGCTACAGGGTTATATATACTGGTTCAATTTACTTTCATGTTTTACAGCGACTGGTGATTTGACAGGTTTTGATAATTTCAGCCGAATATATCATCAATCTCATTGATCTCTGTCTTCTTGGCCTTTTTCTTTGATTTCTTTTTGATTATGGGAGTTGTTATCCGTTGCTCTGCGTCCTTGTCCATTTCCATTGAAGTTGGCACAGAAAAGAAGGAGTCTGACAATGCACTTTCTGTAATCGTAGTTTCGGGTGCTGTGCTCGACGTTGAGGGTTGTTCATCAGCGTCTTCTATCGCAGTCTGTCCACTTGGTTGTTCATCATGCACTTGCAGTCCAAACTGTTCATTATTGGCAGCGACACGACTCAAATATAGCGGCACGTTATCTACAACGATTTCTGTCTTGTGAGCCTAGAATCCAAGTATGTCAGTAACTTTAACAAAAAAACCACCCTTGTTCCAAACTGATTCTTACGAAATCAAGAAACGGCCGAAGAGCTGTATAGCATTGCTCAATATGTAAAGATATATGCCGAAAAAGGATATGCAGACGTGATGTAAGACCCATCATAGTGACTGATGTGGCCATGAATAGCGTTTGTCGAGTTAATGCTCGAAAGGCACTGGTGTGAAATGGATGTGAGAAACTTGGAGACTTTTGATGTGATATTCGGCGATCATACTTGTAGCATTCTATCAAGGTATCTTGTATCTAATGAATCAGCGTGTGACCTATAAGTCCAGGCTGTGACATTCTTTGCGCTGGCAACAACTTACTCGACCGACTAACAAATGAGCTCCAGACAGTCTTAGCAAAGCATAGATGCACGTACCATAATTTGGAATACTGGTGTACTCTCCACCTTTACGTCGTAGCCTAGATGGCAAATCGTCAGCAAGAAAAAACATTGAGGCACAATGTTTGGATCAATGTACTTGTCTGGTTGCATCAACACCACAATCTCTTGGACCAAATCCTTTAAATTCACTTCACCGAATCGAGCCAGTACCCTCCTGACCTAAGTTCATATAAAAGCATAAGCATCACAAATCACGAGCAAAAAAAAGAGTTGATGTTCACCTGTTGGTACTTCTTCCAATGCAATCCAGAGCGATGCTGACTAGAGTTCTTGTAATATGTGCGTGAGAATAGAAACAGATCTGATTCAAGCTGAGATCCTTTCAGCGCATTGACCAAAAGCACCAACGTTGGAATTGGTGAAGGTAAAAGTGGAGATTTGGTGGTTGATACTGGGAGAAACTGACTCGTATGAGGGATCTGAGGATGCCGAGCTTGCAATAGATCGCTCCATTTGAGCATCCTTTGAGCGACCGATTATGTCAAACTGCAGTAAATCGATGTTTGGAGTTTTGTTTTGAGAAAACGATTCGAAGCAGTGCTGCGGCATCAGTGAGGTTCGGGACGAGGAGAGAACAGTTGGAATAAGGTTTGTATACGCGGTATGAACTATTAAGCTGCAAATAATTGACTAACAGTACAGCTGACATATAGGCGTGACATTGTACAACTCCACGAACTACTTGCAATAAGCCCTTTGGCATTCAGACAATATGAGCACTCTCCAGCGTCAAGCTGGTCTCGCCAGCAATGATGACCGCTTACTTCAAATCATCAGAACTGCTAAAACTCCCACTCTTGTGGATCCAGCATTAATCGAATTTCTCAAAATCGACGTGCCTCCTACTGTGACGCCCGAGAAGCTGCGGGCACAGTTAGACGACGCTGAAAGGCGAGATGAAGCGCTTTTTAAAGAATTGAATGATCGCTTTCATCTACGCTACGACCTGAATCTGTATACCAAAAACTATCCATGTCTGAAGCAGATGGTGGTGTGGCAGACAGAGAACAAGGGAAACTTTGCTAATGTTTGGTATTCATCTGTTGCTAAATATGCTCAGAATGAAGCTATAGTGTTTGGTGATCGAGTGTGGACGTACACATTGCTGGAACAAGGTGCGTGTTATTGAGGCTCGTTTCCGTGGATATTGGTCTCGTACGACAATGCTAACGTTTCATTGCTACTGAATAGACAGTAACCGTGCTGCTGCTTGGCTGCTCTCCAAAGGTGTTCAACCGAGAGAAGTCGTTGCCCTAGCATTTGAGAATCACCCAGCTCTGGTCGTATTTTGGCTTGCACTTCTCAAAATCGGAGCATTTGCAGCCTTTGTAAACAGCCAGCTACGCCAAGGAGCATTGATCCATAGTGTAAAAGTCAGTAAAGCCCGGTTGTTTATCTTTCAGCACTTGGTCGGCAGTGCGGTACACGATGTGTTGAAGGACATCAACGAAGCACGAGAGCTGATTGAATATGTGGCCAAACACGATATTCCAGATCATGAAGCATTCTCTCAGCGATTCCATGAATCATCGCTGCCAGAATACTCTGACCAACGCCCGCCTCAGGCTCTTACAGACTCGGTTTCTTGGAAGGACCCAGCAATGCTCGTATTCACTAGCGGCACAACGGGATATCCAAGTAAGAAAGGCGGTGACTCCTGTAAAATAGGGTTTCTAAGAATGCTTTTTTTTGCTAGAGGCGGCTGCTTTTACGCATCAGAAAACATACAGTATGTTGCCACACTCTAACTCCATTCCGTCCTCCCGTGCGTCTGTGAAAGTGCTAACTCTAATTTGTAGATCTCGCAAGCCAAATCACAAACCTCTGTGATCGAAACGCTGAGGATAGATGTTACATTGCTTTGCCACTATTCCATACTACAGCGTTTGGAGGTGGCGTATGCTCTACTTTCTACTCGGGTGGTTGTGTGGTAATAACTCCCAAAGTCAGTATAAGCCGTTGGATGGACGAATGTCGCAAGTACAGGATTACTTGTATTCCTTATATTGGTGCGTGGATCCACTGACCTCCCCGCTTAATCTACATTGGTTGTAATGTCGAACTTGTTTTGTTGCTGTAGGTGAGGTTTTCAGGTACCTGCTAAATACGCCAGTATCAGCTAACGACAAGAACCACAACATACGTATTGTTATGGGCAATGGCTTGAGAAAAGATATCTGGAAGACCTTTGCTGATAGATTCAATATTCCAAGAATTGCAGAATTGTACGTTGCCTTTTCAAGGTTAGAAACTGTTGAGATGCGGTCAGTC